AGAGGTGTCGTTTAGTAAAGGAGATGACGTCCTCCTTTCGACACAGCATATTACTCTCAAACGCCCTGGAACTCGAAAACTATTACCGAGGTGGATTGGGCCCTTCACCATCCTCGACCGGATAGGTTCTGTCGCATATCGACTAGAACTCCCGGAAAGCATGCATAGGATACATCCAGTATTTCATGTACCGAAGATTAAGCCTTATAAGGCAAGTGGCAGAGTACAGCCACCCCCAGTACCTATCGAGATCGAAGGTGAACTGGAGTATGAAGTTGAACGTATCCTTGATAAAAGGATTAAAAAGCGTGGGAGACGCAAAACTATGTTGAGTACCTTGTCAAATGGCTGGGATATGGACATGAGCATAACAGCTGGGAATCAGCAAAGTCAGTTGCAAATGCACAGGAATTGGTTCAAGCATTTGAAAATGGCAGAACACCTGTGATGCGAATGCAAACTGCATGAAGTACTGGATGTACATACTGAAACATGCTCATGTGTGCTTATGCTTTTGACAGGTTCTCTTGCGCTGGGCCCAGAAAAACACTGGGTATACTGCCCCCCGTGCAAGGACACAGTTCGCCCACATGAACGCCATGTCAGTGAACATCCTCAACGGGGAGAGGTTGGACACCGCCGACCCCTTCGTGCCATTTCCCCGTGCGCCTAAGCGTGCACGCGGACGTGGGCGACGGCGGGGTGCCGCACCGGGCCGACCTGTACCGGCGTGGGCTTTTGGTGGTACTCGGCATCGTGGTCGCCGATGAAAGGCCGGGAGGTCAAACATTTCCAGCCACTTGGCTGAGGAAGAGTTTTAATGAGGGTTGTAAAGGCCGGGACGGTCATGTAAAACAACCACTCTTTCTCTTCATCCAAAATTGTTTAGTGTGTTGTGTTTTGTTAATTGGGCATGTGGCAAATCGCACAGCCAGTTCCACCAACATACATACAATGTTTCTGCTCCCGTATTCCCTTATACTGGGACGAGGACGCCCCTCTCCCTGAGGGGGACGAATGTTACGCGCACCAGCCTAATGTGGGAGACGTCCTACTAATGGCCCTTGGTGTGGGGGACGCCCTGCCCAAGGCACGTACTATTCCTCACCCAATGTAACCTTTATCCATATTAGGATACGGGAGTAGGAGGGGTGGTACCGCCTAGGTGCCCTGTAAGGACCTAGGTGCCCGGCGAGGCGGGTCCGCGGCTCAAAGAGGGCAGGAACCCCACACCCACATCCTATTCGTAACACCATTTCTCTGGTGCACCACCAGGCGTCCAATCTTCTGTTGGCCATTTCATGGCTCGTTGAGCTAGCAACTACAAGTAGCCAATCACCAAAGGCCGTTTGCTGATCATCGTTTAGCAATTGTCGCCACCAATGGTCGAATCTGTGACCCCGACGCGCTGCCCTCCACACAGCGGAGGAGTTTTAGCCCCAAAAAACACCATGCCTGGGCAAGGACGCAGCAGCGAGTATGAGAGGATTTGTGCAAGGTGTCTTTTCACATGTGAAAGCCACCTTGGGCTTGTCCCGCCATTTGTTGACTGTTGTGCAATTCCACACTCTCTTAAAGTCATCTTACGTTAAGCTTTGAGTGTGCAAACTCAACGTATTTTCTTCCTTTGGTATCTATGATTCAGAGCCAGTATGCATTGTCTCGCTATTGCACCGTTTCATATTCCCTATCTGCAGATACTAACGCTCAGTAATCACAATAGTTGTATTGAAAGGGGTGGAATGCTGCGCCTCCTCACCAAAACTTCTGTGCCCAATTTGAATGGGGATACCCATTGGAAATGAGCATTTTTATCCTGACTTTGGAAGATTATCTGTCGCGAATGCACAGCAGGTCTTGTACCAAAACTCCGCATGACAATGGGTTCCAAACCATTCGATGCACCCCAAAGACCGTCAGACACTACACATCCCCGGCTGCAATCACGAACGCCAGAAGCCCAGTCCTACCGCACCTACAGAATCCATACGCTGCCGCTGCAAATTCCCTCCCACGCCGGTCTGCCACTTATCCCCCCATAACGCCACCAAGCGCCTTGGTGCAACGCACGTGCACACGCCACAGGAGAAGGACGCAAGAATGCGCACAAACCACTTTGTACCTACGCCCAATATGGAACTCTCATATAAGAAATTCCCTCATAGAGCAAACCACTATTGCCGGGGTAAGTCCAAGGTTGCATATTCGTTCTACATCAAGGTGCGCCGTGCCTACAGCACTCAGCAATGCTATCCTCATTAAATTTAGCTCTAATTATCCTATCTTGCCAAACAATATGATGTGTTGCTTCAATCCCAGTTCCCTCGACGTGCCGGCAGCTGCTATATAGCGCAAAGTGCACAGAATCTTGAGATTTGGGCAGCGGTCTCCTGGGGTGTGCAGAATGTGACACCTTCGTTTCGTTTTTATCTTTTGTCGTTCTTTCCCTGGCTTACTTCCAGCAATCGATGTAGCTATGAACACGAAAATGCAGCACTGTCTGCGTTCTGCAAACGCACGTCGCACAATACATGGCACAAGCTTCACATGCAGTTTGTGCTGTTCTCTTTGCGACTGCCTCGTATGCAGAATCGGGTCCCCCGAAGCAGCGGATTACCAGCAACCGCTGCTGTTTGCATAAAACCCATTCGTTTACCATAGAAATAAGTGGCACGCTTATTAACAAGCACTGTTGAGCTCGCTGTTAGCCATGGTGCCACATCAGCACAATGATGGGATCATGGCAAAAGGCACCTTTGAAAAAGGCGGAATTCGTGGGGAAGCGCTGGCCCCTTCATCACAGAACTAATGCTGTCAGTGCTGGATAGATTATTGAAAATGTAGGCCATGTTACAACTGCCGAATGGCTACAGAATAGGCCAAAAGGGGCAGTCTTTCTGCTTCGAAAATGCTCCCATTCATGGCAGAATTCTGGGCATGCAGCTTCAAGAGGGCCACAACGGTGTGGTGCAGTTGGGCATCAATGCTCAAACGATAATGATGATTGAGTGAACTGGTGAATGTACGAATGTAGTCCCATACCTGGGGGGGGTGCGCATCCACCGTTGCCATCACGTGTTGTGTGTCATGGCGTACGATGTCATATGGCAACCTTGGACGCTGAGTCGCAGGGCGCCTCGGAGGTGCACACATGGTGGCGGCAACTTGCGGCGACACGCTCGAACATGGGTGCGAGTGTGTGACTGCCAAGTCTCGATGATGATGATGATGGTGATGGCGGAATCACATGGGCTACATTGCGTTGCTTGCATGGCAGCAGTCTGCCCTGCCATGCATGAAATTTGCATGCCCACGAGGGGCTGTGGTGAGCCCAAGGGATGCTCGAATCCATGACGTGCGGGACTGCTATGCGCAGCTTGCATCTAAAGGCCTCCTCAGCGATAGGTGGTGTGGGCGTGGTGTTGGCACCCATGGCAGAGGCATGGGGGAGCAGACAAGTGCAGACTCATGCGAATTGCAAGCGGCTGAGCGCATGGCGCGCGCGCGCACGCGCGCGCGATTGGACATGGGGCCATGGATCCAAATCAGAAAGGCGCTGATGCAGTCATGGAGACCGCTGCACGGTCATGTTCATCATGTAATGCGAGTATAGAAGGTTATGGGTGTCGGGAAGGTTTGTGAAGGATGGATTCGAGCAAAGGAGTGATGTGATTGCTTAGGGATCATCTGGCTGAGAGGGAAAGATCTGAGAAAGTTCCGGAAGGTTGTGGAATAGCTGGTCGGTCTATAAATAGAGAGGGGGTTGTCGCCATAGCGTCCAGCTAGTGATTGTTCACCGTTCATTCTGTGTGTCCGACAGGTTGCTGACCCTAGGTCAAGTGTGTCAGAAGGGAGATCGCTGTAGGCGATCATATTCTGTGTGACCATGTGAATTCTGAATCGTGAGAACAATCGTTGTGCTGCGCCAAATGCGCGGTTGAGTGCCGACAAATCAGGTGAGGCGTGTGTGCGCTGCGCTGAGCTGGAAATCCGGGGTTGGTTTGTGCGAATCCTGTCGAAAGGTCAACCGCATGTCTGAAAATCCCATGTGAACTGGTCCTGACGCGTCTTGAACATTCCTCTAGTGCAAAGATATCCCAAAATCGAACTTCAAAATGCAGCCAAGGATCCAGTCCTGCTTGTGAGCCGCCGAGCTAGTCCCATATCCCGGAAATCACTTGTTGTGACTTTGAGAAATCTTGGAGCGCCTCATTGTGTGCGAACGTCTAAGTGCCGTTCAGTCCAATCACTACAAGTGATCGACTGGCAGGGACCGAGTCTGGCAGCGCGGACATTGCCCCATTGTCATACAGCGTGTGGCATGTCGATTTGCGACCTGTAAAGCGATTGTGACGTTGCATTGCGTTCGCATGAGGATTTGGTGCGTTGCGTGAGGAATTGGTGAACAGCGATCGTGAGAAAGCGAACGTTGGACGCCCTCAAAGCACACAGTTGGCTGTGATGCATAATGATCGACATGGAATCTCGGCTGCAACAGGCTGGGCTGGTTGGTGGTTAGATTTTGGCTTCAATGATCAGCCTTGTTTGTTCACGAACACTGAATTGAGGTTCCCCGCTTCGGCAGCACCTGTGGGCCATAATCGAGTAGTTCAATGCACGCGCTGTCCATATTATGAGCCACATAATGAGACCAGCACAGTCCTACAGGATCAAATGAGGCGAGCCCTCCAATGTAGGAGGTAGCTGGGTGGTTGTGGGACTGGGCGAGACCCTGTGCCATTGAACCCACCGCATTTCCTCGCTTTGTTACAATCTTCTCAAATCCTCACCTTCCCCGTCGTCCAAACCCCCGGGTCATTGGTCATTTCAGACCACGAGACACCACCACCACGCGCTTTCCAAGCGCCTTGCGTGTCCGATCGAGGCCGCCAACAAGCGATGAAGCCCCAGGGAGGCCGCGTCCGACCAGGAGTCCCTCTTCCTCCCATTCACATTCTCGCCACCTTCCCCCACTTCGACGACATTCCCCCCACGTTCTCCTACTGCTCTTTTTTCGCTTCGTCTCCACGCCCGTCCTGCACCGCGCCCTCCTCGCCGGCCTCCTCCGTCTGCCGCAGGCGTCTCAGGGCGCCCAGCAGCCACCAGCACTGCAGTCCGTACAGCACAGCCAACAGCGCCACGCCGCCGCAATACACCCCCCAGGCGCCCCCCGCCTCCCTCGCAGCCCCCAGCCCATCCACCACCACGCCCTTCATCACCCCAATCGGCGCCAGCACGGCAATCCCCGCGAAAACCACGCAACCAATCAGCGCTACCGGGCCTCTCGCCCGCCCCATCGGGCGGATCAATCTCGTGGCGCCGAGCAGCGGCGGCGCGGCAAACGCGGTAGTCGCCGCTACCGCGATCCCGATGCCGTCATACCGGTAGGCCAGGGCACTGCCTGAAAATGCGGCCATGCCGTGCAGGGCCGAATCTATTGACGGGAACAGCGCCAGGTTGATCCACGGCGCCACCAGCTTGTGCGCGTACCAGCCCATCTGCGCCTCGAGCACGAACGCGCCCCGCGCGGAGACGCCGACATTCGGCCAGCCCGCCGCGCACGGCCCAGCGTCGAGCGCAGAGCACGGCGAATCCCCCGTCGCCTCCGCCCACGCCGCCAGTGCCCACAGGCAGATCGCCCCGCACGCCTGCCAGACCTCCTCCAGGCGCCACTCCTGCGGGGTGGCGTCCTCGCAGGGCTCCGAGGGGCCCGACCTGCCCATCATAATCAGATTGAAGGCCACCCGCGCCACGGTGAGGCACAGGAAGGCCGCCAGGGCGGTGCGCACGCCGCCGGCCAGGTCGTACTCTCCGTGAGGCAGGACGGGCGACGGCCGCAGGAGGCAGGCCGCCTGGGAGGCCCACGCGGACAATTGCTCCGTCATGCCCGCGTGCATGGGTAGTCGCCCGCGGGGGCAGTCGTCGAGAGGAGGGTTTGATTGGGAGCGGTGCCCCGAGGTTGGTGGATGCTCCGTGACTCGACGTGTGCGCGGCTGCGGACCCGCCGACGATGCCCCAATGCTCGCTGGGAAGGTTGCGTCGGCGGGTGCTCGGCCACGGGGCTCACACTTGCGCGAGCGTGTGACTTGGGTTCCGGCAAAATACAGGGAATGGCAAAAGGAATTCGCCCTTGGGATCAATCCCAATACTGGCCCTCGAGAAGTCATGTGGGGAGGTTAAACAGCACTCTGAATGAATGTGGGAACAGTTGTGAACGAATGAGAGTGGGGCGCACAGTTATAGGGGCAGCTGGAGGGAGCCACGGTAGAGGCTGTAGAGGAGGGAGGTAGGGAGATGGGTAGCGGATAGGGACCCTAGGAACGTTGGCGGGCGGACGGGTCCAGGGCGCTAGCCTGGAGGTTTGCAGTTGGGCAGTGGGGAGGAATTGGTATCAGTTGTGGGATTGGAACGAACGGGGGAAAGTCAAGGGATTTTATTGGAAATTGGCCAAGCCAGAATAGCTGGGCGGCCGGCAGAATGTTCTATTGAGTTGGCAGCCTTCGGACAGACTGGCCTGCCAGATTCCATGCAAAACGCACGAAGTAGTCAGCATGCACAAGACAACACTTCGTGTAACGATCAATGGGGCTCATACCGGAGCCACGGATGGCGAAGGCAAGGTGTTACCGACCATGTGACTGCGCCACCGGGCACCCTCCGAGGGGCCGGTCAGCCATGTTGCAATTCGTTTGCACTGGCATAACAGTCGTCAGCGCAATAATTGTTCCCAAGGGCCAATACCCCAAGGGCAAATTCCTTGTGGATCGATTGGCCAGGGTAGGGTGCTGTTACAGAAGGGACCAATTTCCAGCCCGGGGAGTCAAGTAAGTCTCCATCAGTGACCATGGCTGTTCCCATGCATTGGGCCACAGTACTGTCAGCAAGAGTCAACTGAATGATCAAAACAAAAGACAAGAAAAGGACGTGCCACAGCCAACCGGCGATTCCCTCCCGAGCAAAAATTTTGTGATTCTTTTGCAGTCTCTGACAGGTGACACGGAATTTATTTGAGCGCGCAAGGAATGCTTGCAAGACACAAGGCAACAAGCAGAGCAATGTACCGTGCACTCAAATGGGGCCACATGAGCAAATATGACAGTATGGAAGGTCTGGTGGCGGTGTGTACTCTATGGCAATGCAGCACAACCCCACCCTCGTCGTCTCAGGCTGGCCTCGGCCGTGGGTCCCAGAACGAGAGCCCACTCTGTGTCCTTTGACCATCAAGCGGGGTTTGCGCCAATTTTCTGACTGACATAATGCTTTTCCCGCCGACTCGCACCATTAACAAGAAATTACATCACACCTCGTCAAGCCAGCCGGCTCCTGCGTTCACAACATGTGCCAGACGGCCATTGCCCATGTTCTTTCGCGCTACATGCACAGGACAGCTTTGCCTACTCCCCACGCACGGCCATTTCCTTCATCACACTTCAGATTCACATCACTGTGGTTATCACTTTTTTCTTTTTCGCTGCCAGCTCTTGGATTCACCAGCTTGCCGTATGTGTGGGTTTTGGCGGGAGGATCGTGCACATATTTTCTTGGATTGCCCAGCTTTTTCAAATGTCCGTTTCACATGCCATGAATCTGCGAGGCATTTGGTAGATGCAACAATTCCGTGGGACATTTCTGCACTAGTGCCACAAGGCCTTGGAATCTTGGTGCGCTTTCTAACACATGTACGATGTGCTTGGGCTCGTGTGGGACATGGGGCATGAGGGTTAGGATTGATTTCTCTTCGCTACATACACTGAACATAATCCACAGGGACTTTATTGCTCATGCCAACTCACTGCACTTCATGGGACAATAGGGAATGGCGCTATGGGCCCATGAATAACCGATTCCGAACATCCTATCAGCTTGGTTTCCACGCCCATCATCGCCTACCAGGTGCACGGGCTGTGTTTTGTCATTTTGTGACAAATGCAATCCATGGATTTTGATGATGATGACTGTGGTTAACAGGGTTTCTGCCAAGGGCAGCGATCTGTGGGCTGGGCTGACGATCTATATCGGCAGACAATTCAACAGGGTGCTTTCTGGCTGATGACTATGGTTTCTGGTCATCTGTTGTCCTGTGCCAGGAAAATCCAAGGTGTTCCAGGGAGGGTATTGGCAGCTTCGAACCCATGGAAGAGGTGGGCTCTTGGAGGGGCGGGCAGGGTCGGCTAGCCATGCTCCCTCTTCGGCCTCCATTCTACCTTGTTTTTGCAGCCACCCTGCCTGCCCGGGGACAATTTCGTTTAGTTGTGGGACGGACGAGGGAACGAAGCACTGCATTTGGAGCTGACTCAAGTCTGAGTCACGTTGCAGTGAAGATTTTACCGTTTTGTCTTACAGATAGAGAGAAGCGACTCCCTCAGGTTGATAGTTGGAATGGTGCGAAATTCGCCGGTGGGTCGAGGAGATCTGCATGACAGAAACCCAAATAGCGTCGTCAATCTTTCAGTGCAGGCACATTCTTTCGCTGGCTGGCTTGAGCGAACGTGAGCATCAACGTCCCTTTGAGAGGCGCACCCTGCTTTGCATGTGGGAAGGGCGAGGTGACAGAGCCTGCATTCTTTGCCACGATTTGATGGCTGCGTACAGTGCTGGTTGGCTCCTTGCTACCCACAATGGTGCGACGGTTTGCTTGGCCACACAACGACCATTGTTTCCCTGGGTGGATCAATTATGTTTAATGGCTAGCGATTGCTTTGAATTTGAAAGAGCATTTGTTGCTTCATGGGATGGCCTGAGCTGAACGCCACTGCAAAGTCATTGAAGATATTCATGAAATTTTTTGATGTTATGCCAGTATCATCTGACCTGATTTGGCTCATTGGATGCATTTGCACACTCATGTTTGCATGAGACAACATGAGTCTTGATGGAAAGCGCCATGCAGTTCACATGAGAATGCCCAGGTCAGGCTACTTGTCCACAGGAAATCTTGTGGGGGAGTCGTTGCTGTGTTGTTTCCACACAAGTTGTAGAGCTGTGGCACCGTAAATTACAGTGCCTTGATTCTCTTGTCCTAGTTTGGTTGTTTAAAGGTACCTTCAGGTGCAAATGGCCATATAGATGATCTCATTAGTCAGGAATGATGTCCTTGAGTGGTGGAGTGATGTTGAAAAGCCTGACTTCCCCCTTTAGTTATGGCAGAGAGTCAGTGTTCTAGTAGCCATATTCCAAACTAATATCTCTACGGCGTATTTTCTACCAGGCTATGCGCTGAGTGGGCATGGGAATGAGCTTCTTGATGAGAGTTTGGGATGATGCGGACGCCAGGGTTTCAGATATGCAGGCCCGTGCTTGTGGGACAGAAAGAAATCTGGTCGGTTTTGCGCAACTGTTCGGGAAGGAAAGCTGAGTTCGAACTTGGAAGCGGACACGCAAGTATGTAAGCCAAGTTCTGCGTGGGAGCTGCCTTGTGAGGGCTTGCGTGGGCGCCGTTGAGCCGGCGTTTGGGTGTGTGGTGTCCGCACTTCCTATGAGCACTCTTGGGTGGCGGCTTGAGCCATCGCTCCACCTACTAACCTTAACAGCGACACGAATTCCGTTGCTTCCTACTACAACGGACATGCACGCAGTGCGGCAAGCGGTCTCTTGCTCCCAAGGCCCAGGCATCGTGTCCAGAGTCGGCGAAGCAGCCGCCAGCCACCCCCCCTGCCCTGAACCACCCAGTCCCTAATACGGTGAAGACACCGACATCGTCTAAAATGATCTTTACAAATGACGGGCCCACCCACAAAGGCAAGGACAAGGCGGACAGAACGGGTTCAATTCAGACAAGATGGAGGCTTCTGCATCCTTTCCCATCGCACAGCCCCCTCCAGTCTGATGCTAATGGTGGACGCCCTTACAGATATTCTTCTCTTGCAACGTGATGGAAGTCACAAACAAGCGCCACAAAAGCGCCAGCATCTTCATGCATGAAGGCCCCCTCGCGTACACTACAGGCTCGTCGGCCCCACTCGAATTCGAACAGTCAAAATCCTCAAAGCGTGGAAAACCCTGCACTCGACTCCGGTATACCCGAGAGTCGTGGCATTTTCCGCTAAAGCCACATACATCTCCAGCGTAGGCTGCCTCGCTGGGACAACCCTTAGAAGAGATCCTCCCCACTGCCACCTGTGGGCGGCGTGTCCAGAACACAGTATCAGTCTCATGGTCCTTTGTGCAGCCTCTCTACAGCCAACCGGCTGGACGTCGCCGCCACAGTAAACCCCCGACCCCCACTTCATCGTTGCCACACCACTCTTCACGATGTTGTTGTCGGCGAACACATTGCCGACGACCTCTGACTCCCCAGTGTTTCACAGCTCCACGCATATAAAAACCATGCGAATCATCAAATGAATTTCAATAATTCGACAAATTTTCTTTCCTCAGGATGACCCAGCCTAAGCATGATCGCTTTCACAGCTACCATGCAATAAAACTACTGCCTCACTTCTACCTTATCAGTTCTGGTCGAGCTCCAACGTCACCCAACGGGCACTCCACGCCCGCCGACCAGGGCCGATCCCGGGCAAAGGCAAGGAGACCTCCACACAGTGAGGTCGACTCTGGAGCGCATGTTCCAACCCCTGAATCCATGCAAATCCTACGATGACGTTGTGAACTGACCCCCATTTGAGGACTGCAATACTGCCATGCTGTGCTAGCCCATCTATGGCACATACACACACACCCTTATTCAACTAAAGGACTGCAACCGAGGACATCAGACTCGATGGCGGATTAAATGATCAAAACTGAGAGGGCATCCCCAATAACAACACAGCCAACTGACAGCCTGCCAATGGCAGATCGCTTGGCTGACGCACGAGGTGCATCGCCACGGCTTACTCCAGGCGACAGCACGTCGACCTGTTGACTGCGTGCCACCCCCCTTATGGTGCAGATTTCCCTGGGCAAGAGTTTGAGCCCAATGACCCGCAGTTGCTCCCACAGCACCCTAGTCGCAAAATGAATCTGTACAGGACGGCAGCAACACAAACTAATGGTACGACTTCGACTGCAGGATCTCCACCAGCAAGGGGACGGCCCCCGCATGGAGCAGCTCCATTCGCTTGGCCTTGTTCCCCACAGCCAGGCTCCTCAGAGCCGCCTTGGCGGCATCTTGACCATCGCCCCGTCGCAGAGCGTCCATGAGCTCCGACACCCTTCCGCCTTTCTGAGACGTGGGGTCTCCAAATCCTTGAGCGTGTTCGGAACCCTCCTCTGCCATGTGGCCTGCTGCATGGCCTGTGCCATCGCCATGTTCTCCCTTTGTCAGCCGTTCAGCAACATCCTGAGGCTTAGAACCCACGACACCAGTTGGCATTCCAGACTTCCCATCTGGACCATGACTTTCATTGTCACACATTACACCCCCCACCACACCTTGTGCACTGCCCGCTGCACTGTCTGATGCTGCGCCTGCCAAAGTTCGGGTTCGCAGCTTGCCAGCGGACGGCACAACAACAAGTGGCTTTGTCTCCTCAATCGTTGAAAGCACTCCCCCTTTCCTCCCCCTTGCACTCACTAGCATTTCGTTTGATGTCAAATCCAGCCTGGGCTGGCTCTTGTCCCCTTTGTCATCTCCGCCCATGGCTTTCGCCCTTTCTGCAGCTTGCTGCCTGATGCGCGTGCTGGTGGACTCCAAGAGCTGCACCAGCGAACCAAACGCCCCGGACCCCACCAAGCTCTCCTGCACGTTGCCGTTGCAGGCGGCCAACTTCGTCATCGCATTTGCTGCAACAGACTTCAGCTCATGGCTCTCACCATGGTTGACCGCCTGCAGCAGTATTGGCGTGCCCCCACTCTGTGCGACTGTCTGCCGAGTCTCGACGTTGATTTCTACCATTCTGTTAATCAGAGCAACAGCTGCCTCCCTCGAACGCACCGACCCGCCCGATTTCATCACCCCCAGCAGCAGTGGGATCGCGGTGTGGCTTGCTGCCAGTGAGATCGCCGACAGCTCACTATCCACCAGGGCCATGAGCAAGTTTCTGGCAGCAGCGCAGCAAGCATCGCTCTTTGGCAGCATGTCCACCAGCAGTGGGACGCCCCCAGCAGACACGATCTCCTGCTGGTGCATGGGGCACCTCTCACTAAGCAGGGACAGCAGCTCGGCGACCAGCTTCCCATCAGCTGTGCAGTCTGGCTTCAGGTTGTCCACCAGCACTTCGATGCCGCCCTGCTGGCAAATCTCCCCAGGCACGGTGTCCAATGCGTTACCGAGATGGAGGAGGGCTGCCAGGGCTGCATTCAGGCCCTCAGTGGGGCCCCCTCTGCGCAAGAAGCCTAGCAGGGCTGACAGTGCATCTGCATGGAACAACTCCAGATGGGTCCAGAAGCTGCCGCATGCGAAGTGGCACAGCTCGCAGGCAGCCACGACCTGAACCTCTGGGGGCCCAGACTCTAAGGACCTGACGATCAGCGGCAGTGCCAAGTTGGTCAAGTCGTCATCGTCTTCCTGTGACAGCTGGCGCAAGGACCAGGCGGCTGCCGTCTTCTCCTCAGCCTCCCCTTCCCTCAGCAGGCTCTCCAGCGTTGCAGGGACGCCACTGCGGAGCACCTGCTCGCGGGCCACATTTGAGTGGCAGGCCAGCGATCCCAGCATCCATGCACTGGCCTCACGCCCTCCATTCCCAGGGAGGCCCACCTTGAGGAACATGGCCAAAGTGGAGATGCCCTTGTTGTCCACCACGTCCTGCTGTACCTTCTTGCTGACATCGGCCAGGCCCTTCAGCACCTGTGCGGCGGCAGTTTTCCCATCGTTAGTGGCTGTCTTGATGACGTTCAGCAAGTGGGGGACGATCCCGTCTTTGTCTGCCAGGACCTGCAGAGCACCCTTGTTCTTGTACAGCAGAGATGCCAGCAGGTCCCCAGCTGCACGGTGCACAGCTGAGATCTCGTTTGACAACAGTTCCACCAGCGCCTCAACGACCCCTGGTCGTGCAACCTCTTCGTACCCCCCAAAAGTGCGGGCCACAGTACGGCTGAGCTCCAGGACAGCCGACGCCTTCATGTCTGCGTTTCCTGTGCACAACAGGTCTACCAATAGAGGGACCGACACATCTGTGCTGGCAACGGACGAAGCTGGAGCTGGTTTCGCTGTCAACCGGTTCATCGCCCAGCCCGCAGCTTCTCCAGACTTCCTGCTCCCCGCTCGAGTGAGACGGGAAAGCAGGGGCACTGCGCCAGCAGCGATGATCTCAAGCTGGAGGTCTGTGCTGCTGTCACCCAGCAGCGCCAGGGCTCTCGCCGAAGCAATCCTCACGTCACGTTTGGGCGACTGCAACATGTGCACCAGGGATGGTATCATGCCAGACTGCAGCAACTGCCTCCTGACAGATGGCTTCTTCTTGGCCTTCTCGGCCAGCTCCACTGCCGTGGCCATGGCAACCTCCAGCGAGCCCGAAGCCAGCAGCTTCAGCAGAACAGGTGTCGTATGGTTTGCCACCTTGTCTGCATCCCCATCAAGGCCCATGTCTGGACTACCAGGCGGGGCACCCCATGACGGGCAAGGTGATGTGCCCCTCTTTGCACGCAGGGGTTCCATGGCAACAGGGACAATGTCCAGCCCACCACTGGCCACAGTGGTCAGGGAAGAAATGCTGTGCCTGCCTGTTGACAACGCATCGTCATCGCCTGCTGCTGAGCCCAAGTCACCTTCCTCCGACTCGTCATCGCTGCCCAGGGACATGCCATCCCAGTCTGAGCTTTGGAAGACGCCACTGCCTGTCGCACTCGCAACCTCATCAAGGTCCCTTGAGAAGGGGCACTGCAACAGCTGCGAGATATCCAGAGACTCCGGCTCGGATCCTTCAGAGTCCGAGGCCCCAGTTTCATCATCGCTCACAAGACTCTCTGGGCAGAGGTCCAGCCACCGTGACAGAGGATTAACGGCACCAATTTCGGCTCTCTTGTCGATCGCCTCAAGTTTACCATCCCTGGCCTTGTTGACAATGTTGCTGATGTCCGCGGTTCCGGAGGCCGCCATGACATCTTGCACAGCTGGTGGGGACGCTGTTGATGCAAGCAACCCTTTGGCATGCATTTCTCCAATGCCACTGGCACCATCCACCAAGGACGTCCTGCTGGTGAACTGTTCGTCGCTCTTCACTGTGCGCTGCGAGCTCTGTGGCGTTGGGAAGTCATGTCGCTGCCGGCTTGTGTTCACTGCCAATGCAAGAAGCTGGAGACGGCCTTGCGTTGACACAGCAGCCTGCCTTGCCTGCTGGAATTTTGATAGCGCCTCGGAGACATCAGGACCCTCCCCGGACCATGAGTACCTGCTTACAAATGAACGTATTGTTATACACAAAGTGTCAAAACGTAGTTGTTATGTATCTTTACTGAACTGTGATACCCAGACAATATCAGATTCACCTGCGTATCAAAGAATGAGCATGTACACAGGACATGGCAACACAGTGACAATGTCATCGGTCACTGCTGAAAAAGATACAGAGACAGTGTTGAACACCCCTGGTAGACACACTTCTCAACTGTTACTGATGACTACCTGCGGACGTGCCCTGCCCTCCCACTAGCCTTCCGCTCTGCTTCACTCTGTGCTCCAGATGCGGACACAGACCTCCGGGACAGCAGATCCCCAGCTCTGTCCGAAGTGTTTAGGTCACTGAACTCAGGCGTCGTCCTGCCTGTTGGGTCAGGAGCTGCCCAGGATCCATCCTGTGGAGGTGGCATCGTCCTTGCGCGCGTCTCCAGCACTGGTGCAAGGTCCAGCCTGGGCACTGTTGGCTGCACCACTGAGCCTGCAAAGTCATTTTCTGAAGGCCCCGTCATAGACATGGGCGAAGTGTGCATTTGTTCTGTCGCAGCTTGTGGCAAAGGCGATGCTGCTGGAGAAGGAAAACCTGAATCTTGCCCCTCTGCAATGTCCGACTGGGCGGACTTTGCTGAACCCATGCTTGCATCGTCAACCACCACCACATCTGGATAAGGGTCCGAGCCAGAAGTCGAATCTTGTTCGTCAACAGAGTCGGTCTCAGAATCCATTGAAAAGGCAACAGGGAAGGAAACTATCCGACTGCCTGGACTTGGCAGAGCAGCCAGTGGGGAGTTGCCAATGCTGGCCATCTCCACATCGTCATTTGCATCGGGCACCACAATCGAGGTTTTCATGGATTCTGCATCTGAGTCAGATGTTCCTGGCTGCTCAACAGCTAGCTCGCAATCAGATCCTGACGGTTGTCCAGATCCAGAGAATGGATAAGATGTTACTGATGGCATCGCAAGGATGTCCGTGCAAGTTGCCGACCCATCCACTGGCACAGTGCCTGAGTCGTTCTTTGAATCGGGAGTTGCTGTGGATGACCTGCCATCCGGCACGTCCAGCACCCTTCTTTGCTTGACCCTGTCCAACAGACCCTTCATGCGACTGAGCAATTCAGTGTGTCTGTGTACTGCACCAACGTCCAGCTTTTCTGACAAGGGAGACTTATTTCGCTTGCCACCTCCTGCTCGCTGATCCTTTCCACCCTGCAATGTGCTGGGCTTCGATTCTGTGGCTGCTTTTCTAAACAGCCCATCAACCATGGCAGATGGGTCCCGCTCCTGCACTTGCATGTGGTGGGCGCCGATCTCAGCACCCACACTCCCCTCAACAACTGCCTTATGGTCCCCGCAACTTCCCTGCCCTTCTTGCTTCTTCTCATCCCCCTGGGCTGCCACCGATGCCAGCTTCACGGCCGGTGGCAACTCGCTTTCGGGATTGGTTGCAGAATTAGCCACCAACCCCTCTTCATACATGTCTTCTTGCATTGAAACTTCTTCATACCCATGCACCTCGACCCATGTGCTGGCAAGGCTTTTCAGGGCAAAGTTGGGAGTCAGCTGTACGCTGTTCACCCTCTGCCCAGTCACAGGGCAAGTGACATTGCCCCGCACAAACCACTCCTCGATGCACTTGCGGTCATAGGTTTGACCTGTCTCCACCAGCACCACTGGGTCCCTCATAACTTGATGCGAAATGGGGCAGCAGTATTCCACAGGGGGCTGGGGGAGGCGGGCACTGGGTGTGTAAGGTACAGCTGCGCTGCTCTGCAGGGCTTTTATGACCTACAGTAAAAGAACTGGAATCAGTAATGCAAATGTGCAGCTCGGCCAACACAATCGTGGCAAAGAGGTCCAGTTGCGGCAAAAACAGAACTAATCCTCAAATCGTGCAGGTCCTTTAAGGACTACCACTTGAACGTGCCTCTACACACAATATGGGAATAACCTGGATGAAGGGAGTTGGCACAAGAATTTGAGGAAGAGAAAACAGGTCCCAGGTCTACGGCTTGACTGCAACAGCACATGGTGACCAAGTGAAAACCTCCACAGCTGTCAGTCTAGCAAATATATGGCTTCTCTCCTTGCAGCCCAATCTTCCAAGCATAGCATCAGCGTGCAGCCCCTCTATTCGTCTATTGGCTCACCTGCTGCAGCAAAAACTCCTCGGCACAATTCTTCTCCGCTTTGGCTCTAGAAAGCTCCCGCCTAAGGCCCTGAAGCTCCACAACCATGTCCAGCTTGTCTGGCAGCTGGCATCTCCAGAGGAGATTGCAAATCTGGGAGTGCACAGCCTTGGAGACTGTGGAGACGCCATTCATTCGCACAACCTCCTGTCGCAACTGCCTCAGTGTGTTGCTGTTCTCTGAGCAGCTCTCAAAACTGACAGAGAGGAGCTGTCCAGATATTCGCTTCATGTCTTCTTTCCATTCGGGTGGTGCCTGCAAGCCACTCAGTCAGTCAGCCATGTGTGATCTTGGCCGGGTGTAACTCCGATTTGGAAACAACTGCGATTCTGCTTTCACAAAAACTCAAGCGACGGCCCTGATATGATATGGTTGGCGAAAATTTCAAAACTGCAAAATCATGAATAGAGGCTACCAACCGGGGGCAACAGGGGCCAACCTGGGACAGCCAGGAGATGTACCATCCGGTTTCGATCGTGCCAGGTGATAAGAACAGGTTGACAGGGCAGGCACTACACAATATCAGCACAGCAGGCAGGCAACAGGACCTGCCACTAAAGCTTCCGCCCTCGAATGCACGTCTGATGTAACAGCAACCAGCACAATACTTGGCACTGCAGCAACCCTCAATTCAAAGCTTTGCTTGAGGGGACCTGTGTGCAGCATCGGGTACTTACTGTATGGGTACTTACTGTGGTATGGGCATCGTGGAGGGCTGACAGTGATGCATCCAATTCAAAGCAGACCACTTGAAACTGTGACATCATTGCTTCAGTCTCCAGGATGGCCTGTAGATGCCCCATTGTGGAGAAGCGCACAACTGCCACATGTGCTTTCTCCAGTGCTGTTGCGATCGATTCTGCAAACCACAAGGGCTGAGATTTGTCAAAGATGGAGAGGGCAGGAGGGAGGCTCCATGCCAGTTGCTGGACAACACCCACAATCGCTGTCCCTGCAACACTGCACGGATGATGCACCACTGAGACAGGGGCTCTGGGCAAGCTGCAAACTGTCGACACACTGGAGTTGCACCACAAGAACAACACCCGTTCCCACCTGGATACGGTTGCAGATGGGCTTCGCCCACAGGAGGCATAATCTCCCACACAACGGAAAGCAAAAAAATTTCAAGAGAAGAACATTTCTGGGATATTGTCACCAACACACCAACAGCACAGACCAAAAGAAAAATTATGCTGGAGTCTGGCACAGCAAGACCAGCAGCTCGGCTCACCCAAAGCAACATCGCGCATCCCTGTGGCGTCATCTTTTGACTCGAACTCCACCTCTTCAAGGAGTGGGCGGATCTTGCCAATAAGGCGAGACAAGCCACAACAGCACTCCCTGTTGACAGTGGCCGCTTTTGCGCTGTAGTGGATGGCCTGAACGAACCCAAGGGCAGCTTGCAGCGCCAGTGGCATTGTCGAAACCAGTGGTACTGGTCAGTGTAAAAGAACCGACACCTGGGCATCAACAGACACGCAACATACTGCTCAGAATCGCCACTGCGGTAGGGAAGGTGGTGGGGTGTGCAACTATATCGTGACCGTCCTGCCACCAAAAGAGAACCCGCGTTCAAGCGCAAAGGCTGATGGAAGCCCGCTTCAGCGCTGGCGTGTCAGCACCAGCATACAGCCGACAGTGCTGACGCAACCGAGTCCGGGAGACAGCAGGCGGACAACCAGCGGCGGCATCTGCTGCTTGACGCACGAGGGCCGTGAGCTGACGCGAGCGGCGCGCGGCTGATCAAGCGACGGTGTCCTTGGCGATTTGGCCGCCAGCCGGTGCACCTCCACGCAAACCGCCCGCTTATGAATTTCCACCATGGGATGCAAATAGGCGTCGGGCGACTAACCGCAAGGCGCAACGCTATGGCGTCGCAAAACGCGCCATCGGTGGGAAGAGCGGACGTCCACCCATCCAACAGCCAAGATCCCATCAGCGCAGAAGCCCAGCGACGCACGTCTGCGGCGGCGGCCTGGCCTTTCCGCCCGCTGCACCCCAGGCTCTCACCAAGGGTGGGGTGGGTGGGTGGGGTGGGGGGGGCATGCCGGCCGGCCTTAAGCCACCGCCGTTGCCGGGATCTGACTCCGACACTCCTACACGTACCGCCTGCAGGGGGCTAATGGCCGCCAACGCCAGATCTCGCACCGAACCTTCCGGGCGATCGACAAGATTATTCGCCATCCCGCGGACAAGAACGGTGGTCAGCCCGCATCCCGAGAACGCCGCGCCGCGCGCGGATCTGCTCAATCAGCGGTCGCGCCGCACGGGCCAGGCGCGGCCGCGTCAGCGGCGGGGCGGCGCGGCCCCCACGCCCCCGCCTTAAGGCCTCACAGTATACCGGTCCCCTCCCCAAGGCACGGTACACCCCCCCACAACAAGTACCCGACAAAGAGCCCGAACCGGCGATCCGCGCCTGCCCCTGCCGCTCACCTGTTCGCGTGTCGGCGGAATTAAATCTGTGGCGTACGCAGGCGCCCCCCTCCGTGTTTTCCCAGTCCCCCCCCCCCGGCAGCCGATTTTCTTTCCCCCCCTCCCCGTCGCCCCAAGCGCGGTCCCGGCACTGTGCGTGCCCGCCGCGGCCAGGCACCGTCGCGCAAGTCCCCCTGCTCCCCGCCCCGTGCTGTGAAGTGGCAAATTCGCGTTGCGCAGGAACGCGGCTGGAGGCCGTCGCCGGCTGTGGGGCCCCTTTGTTAGGGCATCTCATACATTTCCGGTGGCCACGTGACAGTGGGTCGGCCTGCAGCGACTCTGCGCCACGAGCTGGCGTGCCCCCCCATTGGCCCGGCCCGCGGAGATGCCTGCCTTTCCGTAAGTACTAACGGCCCGGCTTTTTTGGCGCCCTTGATGCGATACGTGTACGGTATTGTGGGTGTGTGTTTTGGTGGCCTGGCTCCCGTATGGGTACGGTATACAGTCGGGGTAGCTGTATGGCGCCCCCTCAAAAGCGCCCGGCCCCCAATAGCGCCACGTTTCTTGGCTTGCACCATTACTGTAGTGCATTGTGCAGACCTGATGTGCGACTGGACCTCAAACCAGTACATTGGCCGCTCAAACGCACCCAAGAGAGGTGTCCGGCAGACTTGCAAAGTTCTTTGGTCGTGTACCGGTTCTCCACGGGCGCCTGGGCCCCGTAATTACCATTTGACCGACTTCTTTGGCACCCTGGCTTCGGTTCGGGTACGGTATGCTACCACTCCCCGCCCGCCCGAAAACCCCTTAACCCGCGAAGGTACAGGAGGCGGCTGGTGTTCGCGACCTCCTTTTAGGACGGGATTTCTGCGGAGTTGAGGAAGGCAAACAGCGTGTTCTCCCCCGCACGGCAACCCTCACGCGGACTGGGCGGCGGGGCGCCGCTCGGAGACTCCCGGTCGAGCAAGCGAGCCTGCGCGGCGCATCTGCCACCCAGGGGCGTTGTCGATCCAAGATGGTGCGCCGCGTTTCGCCCGCGTCGTCGGCCTCGTTGCGTGACGGGCCTCCGACTCCTTTGCTGACTTTTGGCGCGCTGGCGCCTCTCCCTGTTGCAGGACGCTCAGGCCCTAAACTCGACGATGCAGAACATCGCCCTGGGCGAGGCGATGGTGGCGGCGGCGAGAGACTACAAGAAGGTGCGCTGCCGGGCCAGTGACCCAGTCGACGCGCCCCCGTCCGGTGGCTGCTCAGCCAACCATGCCTCAGCAACTGAAAACCCTGTGCGCCCGCCTTGTCCGTTCCCGCGTGCTGCTGGCGAGAGCGAATAGCTGCGAAGGGCTGCCAAGGAATGTCTGGGCTGAATGTTCGGCTTCTCATCAGCCTGGAAAACCAGCGTTCTGCGACCTGAAATTGATCTCGACCAGATTCTGTCGATTGCGACGGGAGCCGCACTCTCGCGACTTGGGCCCCGAGCGGGGCGGCAACTGAACGTTTGCCACGGCGCTTGGGTGCGGCTTTGTGCTCATCATCCAATTGAAGGCGCAAGATTGCCGCGCTTTGTTGCGCGTTGGCAATGGAATCAATGGCGTCCGGCGCTGGGCGCAGGAGATGGAGGACGCGGAGGCTGCCGCCAAGGCGGGCGCGGCCCACCAGGAGGTCGACATCGACGACCTGATGGACGACCCCGAGCTGCTGCGCCTGCACGAGGAGCGTGCGGCGAGCATCCGCGAGGAAGTGGAGAGGCGTGCGCACAGGGCGCGGCTGGAGGAGAAGGGGCACGGTGCCTACACGGAGGTGGAGGAGGGGGACTTCCTGGAGCTGGTCACCAAGACGGAGCTGGTTGTGGTGCACTTCTGGCACGCGGGATTCGACCGGTGCAGGATCATGGACAAACACCTGGACGTCCTGGCCAGGAAATACGTTCGGACGCGGTTCGTCAAGCTCAGCGCTGAGGTGAATGCACGCGGCCCCCTGGGGGAGGAGGTGGTCGAGCAGCATGCCGTGTGAACTCTATTCTTTCGGCTGAATGTGGTAGAATGTGACGATTCGCCGCCCTCGCGACTTCAGAGCGATTGTGGGCGAGACGCTGTGAAAGGGGAAGATGGACTGCTGCCCCTGTGGGAAAACTGTTTGCCCGCAGCTTGGATGCCAGCGCCGAAAATGGGCTCCTTGCTTGAGGATGGGGTCCAACATCCGGGAAAGTGCTTTCTTGCACATGGTTGAGCCCGCGTGTGGGGCAAGTGCACCAGCGACACCTGAGCTCACCACCTAACACCAGGCTGCTGGCAAGCCTGCTGAGAGAAAAACTCGGCCGTTGCCACTGTCCTGCGGAAAATTCTGTTCCCTGCAGAATGGCTGGCCGTGGGAGAAATGCATTCTCCGCAAGGGAGTGGGGTTGGGCAAATGATTTTGGCCTACCTTTTCTGGCAATAATTCGCCCTGGTTTAGTGACCACCTGTTTCAAGAGCACTTGAATTACCGCATGCACTGCAAAAACTATGTGTGCCCCCAGGATGCACCATTCTTCACGAAGAAGCTCAAGGTGATGGTGCTGCCTTGTGTCATCTTCTTCATCAATGGGATTGCCACTGGGCGACTGGTTGGCTTCGATGAGCTTGGTGGCAAAGACAGCTTCCAGACGTCTCAGATGGAGCAACGGCTGTTGAAGGCGGGCGTGGTGGCCGTCCCAGACAAGCCTGAGAGCGACTCAGAGGATGAACGGGAGAGCAGGATAAGGAGAAGTATGTTGGGCAGGCAGCTGGATTCCAGTGATGAGGACTCGGACTTTGACTGATTGAATGTTACCAATATGCCAGCGTGGCCGATGTGGCCCCAGTTGCTCGCCTCACAGGTTTTGAAGGGCATGCGGAATTGGACTGGAATCGAAATAAATGGCATCTGCCTGATCCTTTGGAATTTTGGCTTGGTTACTGATGTTTGAGAGCATGGCCTGGGGACATTCATGACACGATCTCTTTTGCCTTGTGCATGGGTGATGGTTCGTCACCACATGACGAACTGGAGGTGTAATCAAATCAACTTTCATAAGATGCAGAATGGACTTGGGGTGGGTTCAGGTCTTGGGCGAGCAGGTGGTGTCATTACCGTGGAGTGTTATGTGATCTCAAGTGCCAAAACAAGGCCAATTGGCAATTCCTGTCAGAATGGCCAGTTCGCTACTTGTCTGCGATTGATTGGGGTGATGGCCATCACCTTGTCTTGCATCTTGTCAAAAGGATTGGGAGACCTCACGTGGTTGCCCTAATGGTGGCGATGGAGGCCACACAGTCCTGGCCCAGAATTCTGGGCCCAGATCATAAGCCACAGCGAGTTTGACGACCAATGGTTTCGAAACGAGTTTTCTATCGCCGTAACTCTTTACAAGTACCGTAATGACCTTCTCTCTGGACGGCGTGGATAGTTTTGCATGGTCAGCTTCGTTTCGCTGCCGCAAAAGTGTGCTCCTCAAAACAGTGCAAAACGGCCGTTTTCTCTGCAGCATCGAAAAATGGCTGTTTTGTGGCCAGAAGATCCTTGCTACAATGTACTGCCAAATCCTCAATACTTAATGGACCTGAAATTCTGATAGCATACTCCAACCTCACAAGTGCAAGTTTGGGTGAAACTTCATTGAAAAATGATGTATTCAGAATGGAGAAGCAATGCCCCAAAATCATAGACGACATTGAATCGTGGACGGAGGAAGTACTTAATTATATGGAGCTGCGATCGTAGTTTGCCTCTGCTCTATTCAATACGATGTCTCCTAACAACGTGTCAATCTCCCGGGGCCCCTTCCACCGAGCTGCCGCTCTTTGTGGTCCCTGCTCCCAAATTGTAATGTCATGCGAGTTCGTCATCATTATGTCCCCAGGCAGCCGCAGCTCCTGCATTTTCTGATGCCCTTCGCTTCCTCCGATGCCGTTTCAGCGACATATCTCCTTGGCACACCGTCCCAAGGCGCAGCTATCGCCCAGCTGCTCAGGCTATTGTGCCGTTCAATACTCTAGACGTCTTAGCTCCCCCTCACTGTGCACCAAGGCCGCCAATAAGCCATCTGTCCGGGGTGACGACTTTCTACGCAGGGTGACGTCCCCTGCCATTCCTTGGTCATTAGCCCCATCACCTCCGCCGTCCCACAGCGTCAAACTTGACACACGACAAGGCCCACCAACCCCACAGGCAGCTTTCCAGGCATAAAATTACTGGCTGCACCAAACCAGTGACTGCTTGCACCAAGTCATGTGCACATCATGTCCAACTCCGTCCAAACTAACCTAACCTAAACCTGTCCTAACCCTAACACTAAAACTCACCCTGAAACTAAACCCAACCCTAAAATTGAGGTTACGACAAAGTGTGCACGTGACTTGGTGCAAGCAGTCACCGATTTGGTGCAGGCAGTAATATTATTTGAGCTTTCCACACGAAACCCAGCGGGGTCACCGCGTCTGTTGATGACGCCGAGAGCGCCGCTCCACCCCACACGCGCAAAGTACTGGCCACCGGCTCTCAAGGCCGCCAGCGCATCGGCAGGTTGGGGACAGCAAGGCCCGGAAGTTGGACGCGCGGCTGCTATCAGCGACTCCACCCCGCAGGGTACTTCCAGCGCAGGCCCCCTCCCACCCACGCCCTTTCGCAAAACCGCACCTCGTCCGCCAGGGGGGTGGCTGAGCGCCCTGAGGGCTCCTCAGGCAGGAGGCGCGCGGCCTCGAGCTCTCCGGTCGGGCCATGGCGCCCCCGGGGGAGCCGCCGGACGCGGAGGACGGCGGCCTGGCGGCATCCGCCGTCCCCTCCTGCCCCCCCGACGGCATTGATGCGCCCTCGAAGGCGATGCGCGCCTGGGGCGCCGAGCCGGGCACCGGGGAGGGGTTGCGGTCGCGCCGGCCGCCCAAGGTGAGGCAGGAGAGGGACATGCTGTGGCAGCGTGAGCCAGACCGAGTGCTCAAGTACCGCCCCGAGCACCTGCACTACTACGGCTGGATGCCCGCCTTCGTGCCCGGCAACATCAAGGCCACGGTGTTCTCCAACGTGTACCTGCACGTCCAGGCGGCCGCCCTGCTGGCCTGGGTGGCCGTCTTGCATGTCACGGGCCTGTCGGTGCCCAAGGCCGACCTGGCGTCCTTCCTGCGCCTCTTTGGTACCCCTTACGCGGGCGCCATCTTCAACATGGCGATGCTCATCACCTTCGTGCTGGGTCTGTTCGTGTCGCTGGTGGTCAACCGCTGGTCGACGATCAAGCAGGCCTACGCGCGCCTGATCGGCTCCACGATGGACCTGGTCATGCTGGTGTCGACCGTCGTGCGCGACCCGGGGGACCCCAGGGAGCCGCGGTGCCTGCGGGCACGCGTGGAGGTCACCCGCCTGCTCAACCTGGGCCACATCCTGGCCATTTCCAGGGCGGACGCCCTGGACAGGGACTTCAAGCCCGCCCGCGCCGTGGGCCACCTCGCCAAGGTGCTGGGCGCCAGCCTGCGCCACGGCGCCACGGCCCCCCCCCGAGATGCGTTCTGGTCCAAGAAGCCAAGGAACATCGACCTGGAGGACCTGGAGGAGGAGGGGCTGGTGAACAGGGACGAGTGGGAGATCCTAGAGGGGGGGTGGACTGAAGGGCTGGCAAAGCACCAGGTCGTGTACTTCTGGGTGCAGGCGGTGCTGCTGCGGTGCAAGGGCGCGGGCTGGGTGGCGTCCGAGGGGCAGATGCTGCCGCTGATGCTGGCCAAGCTGAACGCTGTGGTGGAGGCGGCGTCGCAGATGTTCAACACGATCGGCTCGCAGATGCCGTACCCCTACGTGGCGCTGGTGTCTTTCGTGGTGCACGCCTACCTGTTCGTCACGGCCACGTGGTACGGCCTCTTCCTGCACGTGGGCTTCCCCACGGAGGAGAATTTCGTGGGGGCGTTCGGCGGCAGGGAGGTGGCCCTGCACAAGGGCCGAGCGGAGGTGTCCGACAGCTACTGGACCGCCGCGTGGTGCTACTTCTTCGTGGCCCTTGCCAACGTGATGTTCCAGGGCCTGCTGGACATGCACGCGCTCATGGACAACCCCTTCGGCGCCCACGTGGCCAAGTTTCCGCTGCGGGCGCAGGCCACGCGGCTGCTCAATGCCACGCGGACGATGCTCAGCCAGTCGGACGCCATGCCCGCCGCGTTCGGGGACATCTTTTCGGACATGCTGGACGGGGACGACGGGGGGGTCCTGGAGTTCAAGCGGTCGATCGAGGCCGCGGCCGGGCGCCCGTCGGCCCGCCGCACGGGCTCCCTGTCGGCGAACTTCATGAACCCGCCGTCGATGGGAGGCGGGATGACGTTCAGCGAAGTGCACGCCTGGGCGTCGCCGCGAGTGTCGCAGGAGGGCAGCGGGTCAGCCAACGGGATCGCCGTGCAGGTAATGCCGGAGGCCAACTCCTCGACGCAGAGCGGCAGCTGATGGCGAGGGAGTTGGGAGCGGGCGCTGGCGATTTGTGCGAAGGGAGAATGCGGGGCAGAGGAGGATGGCTGCGGACGACGCAGGTGTGAAGAGGCAGCTCACCCATTCCCAGCCTCGGCCACAAATCGAAAGTCTGCTCCTCGCTGACCGTGAATGTGAATAGGTGGTGGGACGAGTGCAAGCAAAGGGAGGGTCAGCACGAGCTGGACTCCTGGGAATGAGCGGGTGAGCCAGTGATTGGCCTCTGTTTATGGATCCTGTGAAGGTGAATGTCTCAGAAGCTATGAATATGGGCGTTCGTGGGCACACACTGGGGGTCCCTGACTTGATTTGAATTCTTTTTAGGTTGTTGACCGCATGCTTCACCACATTGACAAGTATTTTCTCATGGGTTGAAGTGCTGGGGCACTTCATAGTTCTGTAGAATGTTGCCGTCGCTCGACCGGCTTCTCATAAAGATTGGAGTGAATGCTGTGTTTCCACTTGATGTTGGAGCACAGCAGGAACATGTCCCTGGGGACAGTGTAGAGTTTGGGCATGAATTGTCAGGAGTCGCTTAGGGTGCTCAAGCCTTGCTGCACTTTGAGTACACCAACGGCAAAGGATTCGACTCGATTGGACAAACGATGTTGAGGTGACATGTCTGCAGCAAGCTGGGCAGCTAGAGCTGTGACGTCCAAACGAAGTTGCGCCAACCAGCATGCAAAAGCAGTGTTGCCTGTTTGGGATTGTGCTCATCTTGTGCGCCCTTGATTGGCAAAAGGTGAAATATTGAGATCATGGCTGGATGGCTCAATTGGGCTGAATGACAGTGGGGAATATGGTCGCCATGAAAATAGCACGTCTTGTGTGTGTATGTGGCAGCAACGTCGTGGAGGGTACAGGGATTGTTTTGCACCAATTTTTGCATCTCACCTGGGCTCGCCAGTCCTGCTAGCGAGATAGCAGTGCAGTTGGTGGGTTGTGGGTCAGGAGACCCTTGTAAATATATCCTACCTGCGAGTGCTCCATTGAGAGCTGGTGAGAATGCCTGGTGTGGCATCCTTGGTCCTGATGGCATTTCGCATATGGCAGGATCGTCCAAGTGGGGACCTCAACATGGTGTGGGCACTGCGGAAGTTCGCCTCAATGGTCTTGTCCAACACTTGGCAGCTGTGGAGTCTCTGCCAAACAGCTTAACCACAGGATGAAACTCCCACCACAAAAGGCACTGGACATATCGCGCATGGACCGACTGCTCCGGCTTTCCTTGTTAGGGCCACTGTCGAGGGCTGCACCCGTGCAGCGGTCGACGGCTCTGAGAATGAGGGGAGGGTGATCGTTTAAATTCGAATTCGTTACACGTGGGGGACAACTTACAATCGGATGCCCCATTTTCACCACAGTGGGATCATGTCAGGAAATCCCCACATCACCACAGACATGCCCAACCCACACCAACAATGCACAGGGGTGTGTCACGTCGCTGATGGACCTAACAGGTTCAATATGGGATGGACACGTTAGTAATGTCAACGTTTAGCGACGGCGGCGCGATCAAGAGCGCCCTGGAGGAACGTGGACTTGCCATCTGGTGCACCACCATTGCACGGTACGTACGGTGGTGTGCTCATTCTGCAGGCCACGTACGGGACTTCATCGTGATCCTAGGCCGCGATGGCATGCGTTACATGTGGGGCACGCTTTCTCCCACTCGTCATCTGACAGCAGCACCCCCCCCCCCCCCCCCCCGCAGATCGCAGATGCGCACTTTGAGGCCCTCCATCCAAGGGGACAGCATCCCAACCCGTGGAAACACCGCCGCAGGCTCCCGGCGATGGGCCATCGTTGAAAATCCCCCACCATATCTCTCTCACAAATTGCAAAAGCACAAGCAATCCTCGATTGTGGCTCGTTGCCAAGTTGCGGTCAGGGATACACTCAAGACAATCAACATACTCACGGCGATCCTTCATTGATGAACATGATGAACGGCACTCTGTAGAGCATCTGGCGCATCAGCAACGCCAGCTCATCGCCTCGCCACCACCAGACGCTTGCACGGCAAGAGCTTTTGCAGCAAGGCGTGTGTGAAAGAGCGCATGACAGCGTAGTTACGCTTTCGCACTGTGAGAGGTGAATGGCCAATTCACCCAAGCCAAGGATTTGTCGGATGTGCTGCCAAGCTGGCAGAATCAATGCATCAATACATGTCACAAGCATACGTTTGCTTTGTTCATCTTGGTAATGAATTGCTCCTCCTGCCACCGCCTCGCCTCAACGGCAAGTGTGCGACAAGCAAAAGCCGACATGGCAGTGGACTCCAAATGCTGAGAATGCGACCGATTGCCGGGCCTGGGTTCCAGAGCACCACGGTCACGCAATGCCGAAACGCTTAAACCCCGAAAACCCCGCAACGCGAGTGAGGCCAGGTCCGGCTCTGACGTCTACGTCATATGAGCATCCTTCTTCATTGTGCAGCGCTCAGGGGTGCTCGAAGGCACGAAGAGCGCACACAGTGCTGCTGCTGCTGCTGTCCCCCGAGACAAGAATACGGGCACGGGGTCGAGCACGCCGGCTAGCGGCCACCCTTCCCGTACAGCCTGCCAATCACCCTTCCGCTCAGGCTGTACATCAGCAGGCCGGGCGCCGCGGCGTCCACGAGGTTGACCTTGGGATCCAGGCCCTTGGCCAGGCCCACGATTATGCACACGCTGATCATGAGCGCGGCATACTTGCTGTCCACGCTCACCGCGTGCCTCCGGCACAGCCGCAGGGTGGACTTGATGACGGCGTCCAGGTCGATGGCCCCTTCGCTGCCGATGTCGCACCTCCTATCGAAAAGGTCCGCCATGGCGTCCACAAAACCCTCCCGGTGCGGGCACATCTGACGGTCGCTCCACCTCAGCAGGTGCCAGGCTGCCCGCCGGCCGTTTCCTGGGGTCGTGTCACAGGTTGACTCGGTGGTCTGGCTTGGAACGCCGCGCGGGACCACGAAGGCGGATTGGCCAAGCTTGTCACGCGTTGGCAAGCATGGTCGTGAAAGGAAATGCGTCACAAACGGATGCGAACAAACGATTCCCAACAAGCGCTGTCTGTGGACTTGCGTCCGTCACCGCCTATCCGGTGCGAGGGCTGCGCTCTGTCTTTTTTCGACAAAATCCAGTCAAAGGAGTTTGATGGTGATGACGACAGACTGATTCGCGCAGGCAATGGCAGCTGCAGATTTAGAGTTCCTTAAGAGGTGAATGTGTGCAAATAAGGGTGGAAGTCCAGATATTCTTCGAGGCATCCATCGTGATTAAACTCCTGGACTGCGCAGCAAACGTGCCATGCACGGGCCCGAGCATCAAGGCTGCACTTCATGGCATACCTCGTGCAACTCTAGCAAGGTGCAAGACAGCCTTCCTCACAGGCGCACAATCAAAATACTTGCCATGAGCACAGCCTCGATCCTCAAAAATCCATATTCAGCACCAGTCTCGCCACAATGCACTGCGACTCACCTGCGCAGATGAGATTCAGGAAGGAAATGAAGTGCCTGCGCACTTGTGGGCTCAATTCCTCAGCAAGCCCATAGTCAAGCAACACCAGCTGCAAGTTCTCTTGGCCCGTTCGGCCGGGCCTGGACCGGGCCAGTATGTTGCCAGGATGCAGGTCAGTGTGGACGAAATTGTCCTGCAGCAGCATCTTGATATACACGTCGACACCAAGTGCAACAAGGCCGCCATTCAACGGCGCTGGATGCTGTATGTAATGTGAAACTCCGCAGCCCTCCTCAAAGCTCTCCACCAGAACAGATTCAGACACATAGGCAGCAATGGGCACTGGCACCACCACTGATGGATATGGTGCAAAATTGGATCCGAATCGGATCAGGTGTGCTGCCTCCACCCTGAGGTCTGCTTGTGCGGTCATTGTGTTTGAAAATTGGGAGACGGTCTCTTTGATGGGTAGGCTGCCCAGGCCAGGGATGCAGGACACAGTCGAGGCCAAAGACTTCAGGATCTGAAAGTCCTGTTTGATTCTCAGGCTCACGTTTGGGTGGCGAACCTTCACCACCACCGGCACTGTATTGTCTTCCATGGCGATGGTGGCACGGTACACCTGCACAGTGCAGTGAAGCGCACAAGAAGAAGTCAAGCCATCGAGGACGAAGCTTTCCAGCAGATCGTGACATTCACGGTGGAAGATTAAGATTTTACAAGGGAATCAACAATGCAGGGAAAGATTTGGACAGTGTTGGGCAAAATTGCCATCTTATCAGCTGGACCATGCCATCCAACGCACCAACATGACTGCTGCAATGCTGACAAACACTTGGCTTTTCAAAGATTAGCCCATTCGCATGCAAAAACCCAGTGCACTATTCACAGAACAGGTGCAAGCCCAACACTTGCGAAACAGGTCGATTCCATTAACCTCTACCTGCGCAATGCTGCCTGAGGCAATAGGTTTTGCATCAAAACTCTCGAACACACTCTCCAAAGGCCTGTGAAACATGGCTTCAAACTCCGCCCGCGTCTCCCCAAAGCTGTGAATGGGAGCTTGGTCATGGAGGGACGACATCACATCGCAGAATTCCTGCGGAAAAATGTCAACTCGGGTGGACGACCACTGTGCCCATTTTATAAAGGCTGGCCCTGCCTGTCTACAGCCCATCAGCAGAATCTGAAAAGCCCATGTTCGCAGCATTGCTGCAAATCCTTCCTTTGCGGTATGTGGGCGCCTTCGGCAGAGCACCTGGCCGCTATCTGCGTCTGCCTCCTGCTTCGCCTCAAATGGCATCCAGGAGAGGAGCATCAGAAACGAACCCAAAAGCAGAAAGGGAAGAAAGGCAAACAGCAGCTCGGCAGCCCTGGCAACCAGGGCAACCTGCTCTGACTGTGATCGTTTGCGACTCTGGTGCTGTGCATGATCCGCTCTCCCATACAGCGGCAGATCGCTGGGAAGAGAGTCGAGGATGGGAGCAAACGTGGCAGAGTCGTTCCAACTGACCAACTCTACTGGTCTCGTGCCCTGTGGGGGAGTCCCAGATGGACATGTGACATTTGTGCTCCTCCATGCGCCCTGTGCTGATTCGCTGAAGCCTGCAAAAGGTCTCATCCCATAGCAACAGGCACTGGAGCACTGTACAAACTTATCTTGAGATTGAGATCGACTGGAGACCTCCCAGCACTCAGAGGTCCCCTTCGTCGAATGCGTGTGTGACAAGCAGGTCGTGCCAAGTGGTGCCACCAGTGACTGGGCCCCAATTGGAAAGGAGAATGCCAAGGGCCCATGCACACTTGTGGCCCAGCAGGGCTGGGTCGATGTTTCTGAGTTCTGGGTGCCAAATGCACTGCTGATCGTCTCCAAGAAGTTCAGCAACGGCTTCAGCGGAGGCCTGCAATTGCACACAAGAGAACATGAATAGAGTTATGCTTGCCATCGCTTGAGAGGTGCTAGGCTGCGTTTTGCCATTTCTTCCACAAGGGCAATCAAAGGATTGACACATGAGAACACGTACAGTCTCAGGTGAACATCGAGCTGTGGAAGATGTTCACCTGTGAAGGGCGAGCATATTGCCTTGTCCTGAAGGAAACAACAATGAAGCTGAAGCAACACATGGCAACCACATACAGCAATTTCAGATTCAGAGCACCTGTTAGCATCTACCTGTCAGGCAAGTCTCCCAGAAGAGGGGCAACCCTCCTGGCTGCAGATCTGTGTGCCTTCCTCCAAGCGTCTTCCACATCAGACCTCGCTTCACCACTGCATTGGCGGCTGATGGCATTGTAGCTGCTTGACACAGACAGGAGCGTGATTACGCAATGGAGCAGTTTCTGCAGGGCAGCAAACAGAGAAGATCATGGCAGCAGAGAAGCACCATTCTCTGGGGTGGGATGTGAAAGGGCCATGGAGCATAGAGCTAGAGTCGCTTTGCTACTGACAACCACAACAAGGAGTTCACTGGATGGATCCCCTCCCACTCATCACAGTCTGTTGTCATTAACAACGTCACATCGCCTTGCAAAACACAAGCAATGGAATGCCATTTCCTATGTGCACAAAGCAATTGCTCAACTTCCTGTGGCCAACAGACACAGATTCAGAGGTCGCCCCACATGCATGTGTGCAGAAAAAGCACAGGGAACACCAACTCCTACCCTGGAGTCGGAATGAGTCGCCTGCCAAAGTGACTCTGTCAACTGCAACAGCACTGCTGGCAATGAAAGCTGTCCCACTGCATCAAACATCTGGTCTGCAAGTTCTGCTGGCCTCCTGCAGACAGGGTTTGTTTTTCGAATCCGCTTTCTCCTCCAACGTCTCCAGGGACTCAAGAAGGACAGTGTGCGCCGTGCATGGGATCGACATGCAAGGGCAAGCGACGCTATTCCAGTGGCAAACAATATTTTGCCTAAACACCCCACAGCACCAGGGAGAAGGTACTGGAGCAGTGCCAATCCGGCTGTGCGTGAGACCACTGACAGCTCAAGGCATTGTGGCCTGCGTCCCCCTGCAGCATGCAGCATTCAGAAATTGATGCTGATATCTCAATAGCAACCACACTACCAGCAATATTTATCACAAGACTGTGTGTGTGCTTTGGTGCTCTATCGTGGCAGGTTACAGAACAAGAAGTTGAGCCCAACTTAGCAATTAATCACACAGGTAGCCCAGATTAGTAACTAATCACACAGGTGCCCACCACAGCTCAAAGCACCATGGAATGTACTTAAATTACTTCGAGAATCTTGGTGTCCCATTGCCCAGCAGTGACCACAATATGCTGTACACATATGTATCGACTGCCAATGTCAAAAACATGACATAGCACTTGCGTTACGGGCATTATCCAGGAGACACAATATGTTGTGTTGACCAAAGCACTTGTCTCCATGGAGAAAGTATACCTTTCAGCTGCATACGCTGGGACAACTGCAAGGATAACACACTTTACAAGGGGATCGTTGCGGCACAGTGCACTTAGACCATTGGAGGTGGACATATTCCATTGGTACAATGGAAGCCATGCTATAGAACCAACATCGGCAAGAATTGCTTGTCAGGAGTTGCCTGCACAACAACAAACAGGTGTGCCGCCTGCTCCTGGAAAGCAGTTACAGCCATACGCATGTGCACATAATTTGTTGTTCCAACTTGTTCGTGGTATTGGACTCCACTTGTTCACAGTACTTGCTAATGGCAACTTGTGAACATCGGTGGGCACTGGAATGATGCACCACTGGCAAAGACAACAGCCCCTTGTTGTTGTGTCCTTTTGTGTGTTGCCCTCCCCAAACTCTGTTTTGGTAGGAACAGATCCAGCTAGCCATGCATCGTGTTGAGAGCAGCTGGCGATGCTCATGAACAGATCCCAGTTGCCATCTGGCAGGCAATGCTCTCTTGCAACTTGTAGAAGTCCCAAGGAACAGCGACGCCACATATTGTGTCCATGTCGGAAATTCACAAAGTGCCTCTGGATGGATCACTGTTAATTTCACACCTGCTTCAGCTGCCAACTCATCTGCATGCGCTCCAGCTCGGAATTCGATCAGCTTGACCCTTGCATCGGGCACCAATCCACGGCCTAGAGCCACTCTTGCAGAGAAAGGGAACTTCAAGATTGCATTCAGACCAAATGCCAGCACCCTCAGTGTGCCTGCATGACAAGAGCCACAGACAATTTGGCAACCCTGTGCTGCTGGTGTCTTTGAATATCTGCCACCACAGGGCTGTAACCTCATACCCTGGTGTGCAAATGAACAGCCAGAAAACGAGTGACTGCCCCAAACATAACCACGGATATGGTTTGTTGACATTAGGCACACCAACAGCACATCGACAAGAAACCCACGAGTGGGAATGCAGTGGGAACTGCAAAACGTCCAATGGCACTTCCAGGCTGGAAGTTCCGCAGCAAAACGCAAATGTCCCCATACCTGGATCCCAAAATTCACAGTGGTGGTGCCTGGTGGCAGAGAATCACACCCTGTGTCAGGCAACTCAAAGTTGGCAAAACTTTCCCAAAACAGGACCAGTCATGCACTCCAGACGAAAATTCGATGCACAATAAGCATCATATATTGAGGGACTGACCTCCACAGCATGAGATGCAGGAATGGTCACCATCCAAGGGGCTGACTGACAGCAACAAAGGGTAGAGAAACAAGTCAAATGAAGCTGCTACTTCGCCACACAAGCGTCTGTGACATTTGTATCCCTGATAAAATTTCAAGCTGGTCCGAACAATCGTTCCGCGGTAGCTCTCTTGTGGCTTGGATCATGCACGCACTGCCTTGCCAATCAGAGTAGATTCACAAACAGTAGCAGACTCCAACTGACCCGCCTGTGCCGAATGAGCAGGGACTGCAGCCGCCCCATCCTAAATCTGGAAAGATACACGTCCTGATACCAATTTCACTCTCCTCTCTTATCCAATTATGCCCGCACCGCAGGCGCGCGCAGCTCAGCACCCTGCTCTATCGCTGCCAAGACGAGCAACGAGCGCATCGGTTCTTGGTTTACCAACAACAGACGTCAGCAGTCCCATTCCGATCGCCGAACGGCAAATCACTGGGCATCCGTATTTTTCTGATCGCCCAGCGCAACGCGCATTTCAGATGGATCGCCTACGCGCTTCGTTCGCCAATACGGTGCCCCGAAATCCACTGCAGCACCTTCGGGGCCACGCCGTCAAGCACCCCCTCAAGACCAATCCGCGGCCCGCACCTGGCGCCAGCATGAGCCGGATCCGCTGCCTGAAGAACCGCCAAGCAGGCGCTGCTCGCCAACCCCTCTCCGCTCCAACAGCGACCGGGAGGGCTTTGGCCCACTGGCCCAAAGTCCAGGGACCCCCGCTCGCCATGTGGAAGACACCCCGGCCGCCCCTTCGCCACCAGTGCGACAATAACAAACCCGTCAAGAGTAGATCTTTGCGCCAGGATTTCGATCGTCGTCGGTGCTCTGGCCAACGAGTCTAGCGGGCGAAAACCAGGGGCAGGGAAAGACCTGGAACTCCCCAATGCGGTCGGCCGCTGGCCTCACCCCATCGTCACTGCGATGGCGCATGCCGCCCTCGTTTCACGCTCCTTGGGCTTCTCGTGGACACCGCCGCGAAGGCTGCGAGCTCGCCGGCCGCCGGCGGCCGTGAGGCGCTTCCAGTGCGGGCATCCGTGGCCGGGTGGCGCCCGCGCCAGGGGCTTCCTTTGCAACCGCGCATCGTGACATCAGCGTTGCACTACTGCCCCCCCGCGCCGTTGCACAGTCATGACCACGTGCTCATGACTAAGTCGTCGTGACTGGGTGCATTTAGTCACAGCAGATGGGTTTCGACAGTCGAGGAGTGAGTTGCAGGATTGGTTGAACGTCCTCCTGCGCCGAACTTGGCTGTGCACCCTGTTGCAGCGCACTGTGGGTGTGAACGTGCGTGGCCCTGTTTCGCAGGGACTCGTGCCCGTCCAAGCCATGGGCACTTGATACATGCGATAGGGCCATTTTGCAGGCTTCCAAAGTGGAAGGGCAAAGCACGTCCCGCGTGCGGCGAAATCCCAATGCAAATGGGATTGATGCAGACAATGAGGTTGATTACAAGGCTGTGGGTGGACTTGGGTGATGCCTCGGTCACTCTGTAGGTTGCCGGCGTCAAAACCTTGACAATTTTAAATCTGTTCCAGGTAGCCGGCCACACGGCAGTTTGGACCCATTGTTCCACAACAGGCTTGGGCTTTACGCTGTAAAAACTGAGTGTATTATGCTCTTACGCGTAAAAGTAGGTTCTGCGTTTTTACGAGCAAAAACGCGTAAAAATAAGTATATAGAGCCCCGTGTACTTAAGAACAGTATATGCAGACCTGGGAAGTCCGGGGAGTGGCAGTCAGACGCGCTGGAATGGGTAGAAAACGAACTTTTGTTCCACGCCGTCGTTACTCTTGCCGAGGGCGAGGTGGGCACTGTGTTGCGGGTGCTGAAGATGACGGCGACTGATCATTTTATGCAACTTTCATAGTGTAACCTGGCTGTCCCGACGAGCATCAGAAACGTAAAAATAGCCACAAAAGTAGCCCCTTCCGCAAATTTACGTTTTACACATGCTGACATAAACGTGAAACGCAAACTTAAACATAAAAGCCAAGGGTGCTCCACAGCCTGCTACTGAATGTGAGCAGGGGTCTAATCACGGCACACTGAGTGCCTACTCTCCTCGTGAGCTGCTGATGGATGGCCGAGGTTTGCTGTCAGAAATGTAGCATTGGCAGGTCGGCGGGCGGGCTTCGTACTACAGGAGGGCTGAACGACTGCTACCCACCTTGTGCTGCTCACACTCGCCCATCCTTTGTCGATTGACTTCAAACTCTGGATTGGCAGAAATCTAAAGTACTGTGGCTTGCTAAGACAGCTAAACTCGTGAGGCATATGGGCAAAAAAGGTGACGGACTTGGGCTTGTGTTTTGGAATCACTGGATATGGTCAGCAAAGATGGAATGTGTAGTTATCCTGGCCATGAGAGCAGGATCCCGTCAAACAAGCACCTTTTCGGACAGTTGAACAATATTGCCCGACCACGAAAAATGGTTTCAATCATTTGCAATTTGAGGGTGAATGCTGAGAACTTGAAGCCTAACAGTTCTATTTGCAGCACCAGTAGAAAACAACCTGTTCGCGATGCCAACTCCGATGCCATTTGACATAAATGGATGCCCCCACAGCCCCTTGTATGCCATCGCAATCACTGTGACGGCAGCGCTTTGTTTCAGACTCGCATCGCAGATGGCATTGCAAACACGACTTTTCTGCCTGTGTAGTGTAGCGTCCACGAATTCTAACGACTCCAAAGTCAGTGTTTCTCATAGAGATGGCACAGCTTCTGGCTATTTGTGTCCGCGAACACACCGTAATGCGCATTTCCAACTGACTTGCACGAATGCGCTGTTTGCCCGCTCGAGGGCGCCGTTTCCGCCTCGCCTCATGGACACTTTTTCGGTCCTGCCCATCGTAGCAAAATCACAGGTCGTTCATTGGGCCACGACTTCGTGCGCCTTGTGCAATTGTGGGCGAGTGTGTTGGAAAGCAATCCTGCCATCAATTTGACATCCCACAAATCCCCAACTCTCCCGCTTGCTCGCCAGCAGAAGCGAAATGTGGCCATGGACACAGGCCATCCAGCAAGCTCGTGCGCCATAGCAAAATTCCCAGCATCACACGTACGCGCCCTTCAGCATCTCTGTAAACTCATCGAAAGACACCGTACCGCTTTCATCCTTGTCCGCCATGCGAAAAAGGTCCTCGATTTCCTCGGAGTCGTAGCCACACGCGGAAAATCCTCTCAGGACCTCCGCCTTCTCTAGCTCGCCATTCTTGTTTTCATCGTAGGTGACAAAAATGTTGCGCATCTCCTGTGGGCGGGCACAACGCATCCGTTACAATTACTCTTCTCGAGGCATTCAGACTCCCTTGAATATTCTTGCGGATCAATTTTTATGCTATTTGTGAATAGAACATAATTTAATACAAATGAATATATATATATATATATATATATATATATATATATATATCTCTTATATATATGAATTTACGTCATTCCACTTCATTCCTCATATCATTTTTAAACAACTAATGCGATTGCATGTGTAAAGAGCTTGAGCAGACGGTGGTCCTAGGAATGTGCAAGTCTGCACATTCAAGACGCTGATGGGAAGATCAGCAGGTGGAATTCAAGGATTTTTAAGATCGATCACAGTAGATCGCGCTCTGGTGGCTCAAGATCTTGCAAGGTCGGACGCCTTTGTCAGATACCTGTCCGTTCCGGTGCGAAAGCTGCTGCGGTCCTGGCACAGTCAAGTTATGTAATGAAAAAGGCATTTGGAACAGTGCAAGCTCTTTTCTAACATAGTAGACCAATCGTACATTCGCCTTAAATGCTGGTAACCAGTACTAGACATCCACATATGTGAACTTGTGGGACAAAATTAATGTCACCGGTGGATTTTCTGTGTGCAAGAGCGCGACGTATCAAATGGATAGGAAATTGCGGCCTTCAACGCGATTTGAGGATGCAGGCGCTTGAGTTGCCACGCAAAGTGCAGATGGTTTTTATAACATTCCCAACACCTGCATCCCATTAGTTTTTATTATAACGGTGAGGCTGCAGAATGTTTCTCCAAACTGATCATCTTCGATACATCAATATTATGTTGTTATGCATCAATTATACATCAATATTATGTTATTCGATACACCAATATTGTGTTGCGCACCGCTGCTTTTGAGCTCAGAGGACGGTGCAAGTGACTTATAATGGTCTTTTGCTCGGGTTTCTTCTTATTACGTAGGGATAAATTTCACTATGCATATCGCTTTGCATGCCGTTTTCGACGACAAGGAGCACGATCCGACATGTGTGTGGTGTAACAACACAGTGTGAATGAGCAGCAGACAAATGTGTCTATGTGAATTCATACGCTTGCGCGCGGAAGGACTGAGCTGTGCCATATATTTTACAATGTAGGCACATGTTTCACAAGCACTTGTGTGGCTGCAGGCGGTAAGACATTGCGAGGGCCAGAGAAGATCCGGGACTTGCCTCCAGTTGATCTTCATTCAGGACGGGCTCGGTCTTGGGAGGTGGTTCCTTGGCTGGGTACGCCCAGTTTCTCATCACGACAAGCTCTCTTTCCGTTGCAAAAGGGTAGTACAGCCTCAAATACCTGAGCAAACGCTTGCGCGCGTTAGGCTTACTCCGTTGGAGAGCATATCGGAAGCACCGATAGCTGTTGTCCTCGCCGCGATGTATGTAACCTCTTGAACTTTTTCCGTGCTGCAGATGTCATGAATACTCAAGGGAACTTCCTCGCAGATCACATAATCATGTATGCTCTGGAAATTTCGAGCAAAACCGCAGTTCGTGGCGTACACGCTGCTTCAGATTCGTCTATTGAAGACATTCAGTAGTTTCAGGAGGCGGCTTTCTTGAATTTACAAATAATTTCGCGTTACTTGGTGCAAACAAAACAAACTGCTAACTGCAGTTGAGCTATTCAGGATTAATTTGAAACCCTCGCACAGCGAGGAATTATTGCCCGATATCTCTTCGTCCAAGCATTCAGGGGTTGTGACATCGTTGTATGGGAGAAACCGGGAAGCTTCCCCCCTTGAGCTCCGCGCAGAACATGGATGGGCCGCCCAATGGGGGTGTTTGTTGCACAGTTCAGTTCACGGGAGCTGGCTCATTCACAGTCCGATTACTTTGGCGGAATCTTCAAAACCTTGCAACATCTTTGTTATGGGCGCATTCGCGCTCAGACGGCTCGGCGACTCAACTCGTTGAAGGTCACTCTTCCGTCTTTGTTCTTGTCCAACGCCTTGAACGACCCAATGGCGTCGTGCAGCCCCTTCTTCTCCAGCCCGCTGACCAGCTCGCGTATGTCCACGTCCCCGCTGCCGTCCTTGTCGTGCGCAACGAAAAGCTCCTTCAGCTCCAGGACATCCCGTTTGCTGTACTTTGCAGAGTCCTTGATCCTCTTCTTCTTGGGAGGCATGATCCCTGGCAGGAACTGCGAGACTGCCGCCAAGGGGGGGCTGGAGGCTGCAGCGCCGGGGGTCAGCCTCGCCTGTCACAGGCGCCTTGCGAGCGATGCAGTGCCGGTTTGTGGGAGAGACACATGTTAGACAAATACCACATGACCACATTGTGCCAGCCTGGAGTCAACTGCAGGCTTGATATGTCACCGGGTGGTGCATCTTTATCAGACCTGCGAATTATGGAGTGAGCTCTAGAGTTGTTTCATTCGTTCCCGTGTTTATAGGCACGGATGATTATCCGCAGGGCCATTTCTGGAACAACTTTGCCACAAGCTACGCTCGCGCAACGCAAGCTGCGCGAGTTGTGTTTAAATTTCATAATACCACTTGCAAACAACAAAGTTTCGGACTGTTGTGTTCGAGTTTGCCAATCATCGTGGAAGGGGGATTGGCCATCTTTCAACATGTAGAACGCCGTGTTTCGGGGTTCACACAGCTGATCAGAATTCGCTTCTCTGGATGTCCAATCCCTTCTGGTGCGCACGTGTCACACTTCGGTGGCTCTCAGGGTGCCGCCAGGCATGGCTGCCTACAGATATGTGTACGCATATTGGCATTCACGTGAATGGAAACACGGCAATGCACAGCGCGGAGCGAAATGCAATCGCCTCACAGCATTGCAGTTCATCATATTGACTTCTGCAATTTGAGCAGATCGGCATTCTGCATAAGGAATGATTGGTGCTAAAAATCTAATGATTGGTTGGATATTTGGTTGAGGAAAATCAATAGGCTGAGAAATCAGCATGCTTCTCTGGGAAGCATGATGTTCCAGTGCATTGCAATGCCCCGTCTTTTCCAAGTCTCCAGTGCGATATAGGCGATAAGCGAGTCTGCGCGATGTCGCGCGATGTTTGTTTATTGCCGGCAATTGCTTCCACATAATGTGGGCCCTGCGCAGCTCGTGGACCACTGCGTGAAATTGCCAACAGCCGTAGCTTCCCTTGGCAGTGATCGCTGCCAGTGACCACTGTTCCATCATGATGGAACAACAATTCTCCACAGAAGCTCGTGAGGAATGTTCTTTGTACAGGAGGCATTTCTTGAGGAGATTCAACAACTGCAGTTCAATCTCCGCATCCAGCCATCTCCCGGCAGCGTTCGTGACCTTTGCGACGGTCGCTTCAGTTTATCATTGGAAGTCGCGGGCCTCAGCGCATGGCCAAAGCGGGTGAGTGGCCGAAAATGGACGGGATACGATATGTAACCCCAGGATACGATATGTAACCGGTACAGCCCTCATCCAAAGATAATTCAGCAAACAGGCTTCGAATGCTGAGGGACTGCAAGATAATAGAGCGAACAAAAGCGATTCTGCCGGTGAGTCTGTCGTCACTGCCCTGTTGCGCTTGTGTGGCGATTTTCTAAGTACCCCTACCGAGATGAATCGTTTGATGTTGTGCATTATTAGCTGTTTGATTGGTTGATCTGTTATGCTGCAACCTTGTCTGAGTTGCTGAGCATGGCCTGGAATTAGTAAGCTGATGGCTTTTTAATTATCCTGTTTTATTGCTTAATGTACAGGAACTCACATGGAGAGAGACGCCCTTGCTGCAGACCCCAAATGTACGACCCCCTTGACGTGCGACTGAGCCAGAACGGAGCTGTGAACTGGGCCACGGAGAGCTGGGCTGGAATGACGTCTTACGCCACATGAATCATCACTAAGGGAGACACGAACCGGGAGCTCATCATCAGTAAGCTATTTTAGTTGTTTGCGCTCATTCTGATGGAGTGTCAATGCCGGGACTATGGATTTCATTGGCGAGCGTGATTGATATCATCATATTTTACTGATTTGATGGAGTTGATTACTGGATCATTATGGGGACTGAAATTGAGCAGGTTGTATGGAATGTACGCTGGGTGGTAACATGCCGGGGGCAAATGTTGGAGAACTTGAGACGTCTGGGGACAAGCTCAGGGGGTTCTGTACGGGGATTGTAGCTTTGGAGGCTTCTCGTAAGGTGGCTAGGACCTGGGACTGGGACACCCTTTTCCGAGTATAAATACGCATGAGTCAAACATCTTTGTAACACACTCTTTCTGGGCCCACCATCGCTGTCGTGCATATGTCTTTGTTTCCGAACTGTCCTCGAACAGTGTGTGCCGCATCCCGTTTCGCCTGTGGGGAAGGAGGCGACCGCGGTGTCTCCGGAAGATCGGGACCGCATTCGACGCCCATCAGCCTATTGTGACGGCTGGTCTGGCATGTACGGCTCTGCAGCAGGGCAGGCCTGGTCTGCATCCGTCTGGTGCCGTACGTGAGCCACCGCCACACTCGTGTGAAGACGGGGTGGTGAAATGCCGCGGTTATGCGTCGGCAGACTTGTCCAGCTGCCGCAAAGTACTGACGCTGAGTTCATATGGGATAGAATGCCCATTCCTGCCTCATGTTGCTGGCAAACCTGGGCAAGCGGAACCCCTGCGCGAGCGAAGATCCGGGCCGCCGACGCCCTTGTTGGCTTGACGAGGTGAACTGCGTGCCAGCGTCCTTCGCCGCAAGGAGACGGCGTCCCGTCCTCGCGAGCACTTGGAATCCCTTCCGCATAATGGAATGAAACACCGCAATGAGGTTGCTTTGATGGCATCGGTAGCTTGCTTTAGCGGGAGCATTTAGTACACAGTCGATATCAGCGGGTCAATTCCGGTGTCCCGCGTTTGATGGCCAACATTGCGGATGCACAAGCGGGCGCCTTCGCAGGTTGGTTTTGCCAACAGAACCCGGTTTCTATTGATTCCCTATGTCACGGCCCTTGGGTCGCTGTCTTGACTGGAGTGTTTTCATCCAGCGTGTCGGGGTGTGAAAGAGGGCGGCGCCCATGAGGCGTCTGTTGAAGGCTGAGCCCTACCTCGCCCCCCCGTGGGCGCAAAAGCTGAAGGCGGTGAGGAAGCCCATGCCAGCTGCGAATAGAACGCCAACGGAAATCTCAGAACCCTCCCTGATCACTTCTATGTCTGGATTTCGGTGTTTCGGTGCCTCGCTGTCAGTCGATGGCAGGGTCTGCTCCTGTCCAAGTTAATCAGAAAAGCTTCATTTGCCAGCGGATCTGCGAAGCGAGGCAATCTTTTCTTTCCTGCAACAAAAGCGCTTGATGTGTAGTTTAGACCATCATCAAGCCATGACGATCCTTTTGAGAGCATGGTGGTTGAACCTTCAGAGAATCCGCAGTCTGGCTTATTGGTGCTGTTTCAACAAGGACGCTCCTTTGTCACGTTTTGGCAAATTTACTCAGAGGATTGACATGTACATGCTGAGATGCTGCACAGCACAACGTCCTTTGGTGAGCTGCACGAAGATTTTGCCGCCCAAAATCATTGTTGTGGGCAACGATTAGTTGTGAGCAATACTTGACCGGCCTTGGGTGGAAATGTGCCTTCCCCCAGTGAGACAAGAATATCATTATCGCTGAAGCTGTCAGCAACCACAGGCTCAAGATCACATTGTTTGGCATGCCTGATATAGCAATGAGCAAATCTGCAGGGTATGCCCTGGGCTTTTCACATTTCATGCATGTCCCCACCATCTGTGCTCTGATAGTTGTTGGGGCCACTGTTGTGGAACAAAGTCCTCAACCTGCTTTCTTTGTAGGCAGATTCCAAGAGAACGGTACTGTCTTGGCCTGCTGCCAACTCCTGTCCACAAATGGAAGCCAAAGGGAGTGCCAGGCGATTTGGACCTATGGATCAAAAGGGATGATCTTTCAGGCGTCAGCCTGAGTGGAAACAAGGTATGCATACTAGGTATTTGCCAGGTTCAGTTTGCTTGTGAAATCATGGATTGCTTTTGCCAACAGGCCATAGGAAACAAACTCATGTGGTCTACAAGTGTTGACGGGCATGGAAGCTTTGAGTCACCGTTTGTTGAATGTACCCTGATCATATTTACCAAACCGGCCATTCGCACAATGCAAAAGAGATGACAGAAAGAGCAGGGAAGTGCCTAGCGCATCATGGAAACAACTGAAAAGACAACAAATGTCCTCCCCTTGGAAAGCACTAGAGATTGTGTGATAGAATTTTCAAAGCCTTCAGTTACCGGATCGGAAGCAGGGGACTGAATCTGCACCTTCAGAACTGTGTTGATTCCCTGTTAAAGCAGCTTTCAACAAGAACAGGGAACATGTAACTGCCACTGTGGTTTTGCGCAAGTGTGTCTCTGTCCAGTGCATGCAACGAGTTTGTCAGGCATGGTAACCAGACCACCAAAGATGTCACCATGACACAAAGCCCCAAAATGCGGACGCAATGTGGCATGATTCAGACACTGCCAATTCGCCTTCATTGTCTTCCTTTTTGCCAAATAGCTATTCACCAGTTTGTACATAACCCACACATTCTTCAACAAGGTAGGGTGTTGATTTTTGTGTTGTGACAGTCAAGGAATGGTATTTCGACCTTTTTTTTGTGGTTGAGCTTCTGTTCTGCATTATTGGACGTATTGTGGATGTTTCAAGTGTACAATAGAAATACAAGCATCTTGAACGACAAGAGGGGCAGATTAGTTTGAATGGCCAGCGGAACTTCATTCAGAGCAGCGATACGCTACAATTCAACCAGTTCAGGAAGAAGTGGTCTGTGCCCTGCTGCATTCAGACCTGCTTCTCGATCCTGTCAATACTATGCTTGTCATCTAAATTGTTGCGTTGCAATTGTTATCATAGCCATGTCAATCCAAAAGGCAATAACACAGGGACTGTTGTGAAGAAAGCAGAGGTAGTTCAGTGCCTTCTTGGGCGATCTGTGGGACAAGTTGTGCGCATGTTGCTCTTGTCCATGTTTCACTTGCTGTTGGGTGCTGTTCTGCATGCCTTTGGCGACCTCCACAGCATCTTTAGAAGGACGCGAAAGGATCACAGGTCCCCTGCATAAGAGGAAGTCAAAACTGCCATGTGTATGCCTGACGAACTTTGAGGGGCCAGACATTTCAAAGCACAAATGATTGTGTGCGATATACCGCAAGTCAATAACATTATGCATAACTTGACACCATACTGCTGCACACAGAACATGAGGAATAACATTGCAGTTTGGGTCAGGCCAGTCAGTGCAGGGCAAGAATTTGCCATATGTTGATAACACAAATCACTGGAGTGTTTGGAGCCGGGCGATGCACATCTTGCTTTCCAGTTTACATTGTTTGGACTTCAATTAGTGGTTGTGCAGGTCCGGAAACTGGAATTCCTTCTGGCTGATGCAAAGGCAAAGGGCCATGATTGCGTCATTACGATTGGCGGCATTCAGAGTAATCATTGCCGTGCCACAGCAGTTGCCGCCCGCTACCTAGACTTGGACAGTCACTTGATTCTGCGGAACAATGAGCGTGCAGCACAGAACGACCCTGGGCTTGTTGGTAACTTGCTCGTGGAGCGAATGGTTGGGGCAACCATACATCAGGTAAGCTCCAAGGTTTCATGGCCACAAACAGCCAAAATGCTGAGTGTCCCCAACATGGGTTGGAGGTTGAGCTGTTTTGCACTCATGCTTGCCACTGATTCTGCCTATCGGCATTTGCACATCTAATCCATATTGTGCTGGTGAATTCTGCACAGGCGGAGCCGCCACTTCTGACATGGTAACCCACAGTGTTGGCCACCAACCCAACTGTTGTCAGTCTTGTTCCCTGCTGACTCCCAGGTGTTTGGGAATGAGGTGCACATGGACATGCGTTGCAAGATCTTGGCTTGTACACCACTCATGATCCTTCACTTGTAAAAAGATCCAGACATATGTGCCATTGCACAGGGGGTGGCAGCCAAGGCCATCATATTGCATTTGAAGCACCCTGTGTTTCCAGGTTACGAAGGCCGAGTACCAGCGCGTGGGCTCAGAGGCACTTGTTGAGCAGCTAGCCCAACAGCTGAAGGCCGATGGTCGCAACCCATATGTCATCCCCGTAGGTGGCTCAAACTCGCTGGGAACTTGGGGATACCTTGAGTGTGTGAATGAGCTGCAGGCGCAGGTTGGAGGGGAAGGATTCACGGACATTGTTGTGGTGAGTTGAGAATGCGATGCGATGTATCTACCTGTACCTGTTATGCATTAATGAACTACAGGCACAGGTTGGACAGGGGGGTTGATGGATACTGTTGTTATGAGTTGAAAATTCGATGCAATGCGTCTTCCCTGTGGTGGGCACAACTGATAATAGGATAGCCATTGTTGCTTGCCGGACTGTGGTGAAACTCAAAACTTTGAACGATTGCAGGTACCACAAATGGCATACACAGTAACACAGGTAGTCCTCGTCATAGGACATCAATGTCAAAATGAATGGTGAACAAGGAAATGTTGAGGTTCATCTGTCCCAGACAACTGTGCATGCCTCGGCCCCTGTAGATAGCAATTTCTCTGGTTGGGGACATCATCTTGCTGCGATGAGATAGGCTATGAAGCTGCACATTCCGTGCAGTCTGCAGCAGCTCACCCTGCGTTGTTGCACTGGGCGAAGTGGGATCAGTGCCATTTACCTGAAAATGGCTTTCAATGCATCTGTTTGTGACCTATTGCAAGCAGTTGTCCTGCTGATCATTTGTCTGTACACGAATCTCAATCCATTACCATATTGTCACAAAAATGACCAGCAAAGCCCATGAAGCTGAAAGGCAACAATTGCCACAGCAACATCCAACTGTTGTGTCCTTGGTCACTCATTGTCTGCGTTCCACACACTGTTCACGTGTGCAGCATACAGTGGCAGAAGCCCCAAAGGAAGGCCCAAAGTACCTTGGAAGAGTATAAAGTGGGACCAAGTCCCCGTCAAAAGCAGGAAAGGCTCCCAGTGCAAGGAGCCTAGAAGTGGTCTGAGAGGGCCCAGAGTTTTGAAGTGCTGTTTCTTGCATTGCCAAAGCACTGCCAGTACATTTGCCTGAAAGGGTGTTTTGCTTCATTGCCAGGCATGTGGGAGTGGGGCCACGACCGGTGGGACTGCCCTTGGAGTTCTGCTCAGCGGCTGGCAAGTTGAGGTGCATTCCTACGGTGTCTGTGACGACGAGGATTATTTTTACGATTTCATTGATGGTCTTTATGCCGGCTTGGGCGCAACCAAAGACGTTATTGGAAAGGACAGCAGGTCTATGTTTCAGGCAATACAGGCAAAGGGAGCAGGATATGCCTTGAGCCGTGAAGAGGAACTGCATACTGTCCAGGTGATCCGTTTGATCCTGTGGCTTTGTGCTTGAACCTCAATTGCTGTGTTTTGGGATGAGTGGCACATGCCAAAATAGCGCACACCCCTTGGCAAGAATTGTGAAGTGTGGCTCTTACCTACAATTTGAAAGATGAAGTCTGGTAGGGCAACAGGAATAGCAGTCAGCAGAGAGTAGCACAAAGGGTGACCCTATGCTCTGTGGGGGATTTGTGTGAATCTTTGCAGACTTGCCCTTATTCAACTTAATACATAGCGTCTTCGAGTATGAGAAAATACAACTATTGTTTGTGTACCATAGCTGCAGTAAATGAGTCATGATCACATATTTGGCAAGTGCCCTTCATGGTTTGATGTGGCTGAGCATAAATCAATGTGACTTTGCACTGTGCCTTGGTTTGCATCATGGGTCTGGATCAAGTGCAGGGAAGCTTTTACAAACGGATTTTTTGTTTGCAACTACACAATTTCCGATCAAGGAAGTTATGTCAACTGTGCTTTGATTGGCGCCTTTGCTGTTTTGTTTTCACTTTGCTGTTGCCCTGTATCGCCTCCTTTTGCGTCTGGTATGTACGATGTTGGGTGCATATTGCTGTACGTTCCCAGGTCTGCGGCTTATGCCAGCGCTTCCTGAAGTCATACCTGATTGCTGTTTTGGAGCGTTTCATTTGAGATGGCAAGAAGAACATGGTTGAAATGTATGTTTTATGTTACTATATGTTCTGGACAGAAATTAGACTTTTTTGTAGTTTGTTTTTTGCGGCATCTTCAGCAAATTGTGAACTGTGCAATAATGCCCAAACTGGCGTGCACGACAAGTAGTCGACTAGCAGGACTGTGCAGTACAATTGATTTAATCAGAAGACATACTGCTGGAAACCAGCGCTGCAGGGGAAATTCTAGGGACATGAGTCAGGCTGCTGACTAAGTTGGACCCTGCTGTTTGGATGAGCACGCCACAGCGCCACCGCGTTACATTCATATTCCACACAAGATTTGCCGTCAACAGTGGCCAATGCGCCATTCATTTGTCATTGATGTGAGTGTTTGCTGATTGATTTAATCACTCCCCTTCCCTGGAAGAATTGGCTCGACTATTTCGAAACAATTTACTCAGTTTACTCAGAGAGTTGCCATGATTACGCATAAACAGTGCATGACTCCCAATTCTGCAAACCAGCCAACTGGATCGCTGGCTGGGTTATTCGCCATTCATGGCCGTTCATGAATCACATTTAGCAATCTTCTGCTCATAACATGGTGTGAGACAGACCACAAAAGTCTGCCCATTCTGTGGAGATTCAGGCGTTGCTGGCACTAGCAATTAATTCATTTTTTGATAAAGGCACTCTGCGATTGATGTACATGACCGCTTCGATTAGTTTCCATGCCTTGACGCCCCCTTTGTTGATTCAGGAAATAGCCCTCAGCACTGGCGTGGTGCTGGACCCAGTTTATTCAGGAAAGGCGGCACATTGTTTCTTTGAAGACGTGAGGACATCGCCTGCCAAATGGAGTGGCAAGAAAGTGCTGTTCATACACACAGGAGGACTCCTGGTAACCCAAGCTCGCCAATCCCACATGTGTTCTTGGCTGCTGCAGTTCTACTTCTTGGCAGCATGATGCCTTGCCAGATGCTGTACAGCCTGAGTCCAATTCGACTGCCCATTTCGATGGTATCAGAATTCGGCTGAGCAACACTGCACTTCCTCTGTGGCCTCCAAGGTTGCCCCCCCCTTCTTCCCAGTTTGTGTGGCCCTATGATTCCGTTAGCCTTACACAGATGTTGCTGGTGGCTCAGGGCATGTATGACAAGACCGATCAGCTCCAGCCTATGGTGGAGGCGCTCGACCGGCACCACAGGTTGCAGGTGCCATCTTGAGGGGCGGTTTGGCACTCAGGACGCAGGGATGGGGCATCGACCTTTGCCCAAAAGGCTACAGCACTCCATCCATGGAAAGGATCCACAGATCCAGCGACGTGGCCTTGGCTTGCCTTCGCCCGCCTTTCAGACTCACAGTCCTCTGCGGCGGCATATGTTCTTTGGTGCATGCGTTTGTGGTGGATGCCTGCCGGCTGCTCGGTCTGCCTGCTGGGTATGCAGTCCTGCAACCACAGAACACAGCGGCACGTGTTGGCAACTTGGAAGCGTCAGGATCTCGGTGTGATCTGTGTTTTCGTCGATTGCAACGTCAGGTGGAAAATTTCCCATTCATTTTGACTCAATGAGACGTTGGCCATTTGTACGCAGAGTGCTGTGATTTCCCAAGCAACATCGACGATCTGAAACTTAACATTCGTTTTAAACCATGAACCCAGGACATAGAGATTGCGACGGTGCCGATGTTTAAACATGGGCACGGGTTTGCACATCACAAGGGTGTGGTAAAACCCGTTCGTAAGAGTTTAGCAACGAAAGTATGCTGATCGCGTCAACACCAAAGTCTTGAATGCCAGAGTGCCAGGGCGTAGCTGTTGGTCTACTTATTGACATGCGTGTCTGCGAGTCCCCATATCCAGACATCTGTAAAGGCATTCAGTATTTCTGCTGTTTGCTTTCAGCTTTGTGTATCTTTGATTGTATCTTATTCAATGGGCAGCCTCACAGTGAAACACCGAATCCCACGTACAGCTGGTGATGCTTCCAACTGGTGAGTTGGGAGCCATGGGGTGACACTCATGAGTTGCTCCGGCTTCGGGGGACTTCCCGCAACGTACACTTTGCAAACAGACAATGTGGGCCCGAACGGCAGAGAGTGATGGGAGGTCATCGGCTCAATGCTGGCCAGTAGTTGGATGGACGCTGCCCGAGGAGTTGCCCGGTCGACGTCTCTCTTCCCCTCCCGACTCTCAGTTCCCATCTCCCCAAGCGAAATGAGGCATCGTGGCTGCTTGCCACGTCCCACACCCCTTCCGTCCGTGAGATGCCCTCCCAATCTTGGTCGAGGCTGGCACCCTATTCGATCCGCAGGTCGTCAATATTCATACCTTCCCCTCTACTCCCTCCAGCACATCCAACCGGTCTGCCGCTGCTTGACAATCGAATAGCCTTCTTCACCATCCATTATACTCGACAGATACTGCAAGCCGCGTGCGATCGCCAAGCACGCATCGCATTGGCGCTGGAGCCACCAACCTGCGGCTGCGGGGACGTTACAGTATTCGCTGCACTTTGGCAGGCCACCAGTCCATGGCACAACGACGCTCGTTGAACGCGTTCCGCTATCGGGGTGGCACAACTGACTTCCTCTCGCCGAGACGAATCCAATGAGCCCCGAAGAAAGCTGTGGGTGGATGTTAACACAGAGTCATGGGTACGAACGTGGTTTGGGACACCAGGAACAGGTGGGGGGACATACTAATACCAGACCATTCACGGCAGTTGATGACCAAATAAAACACTTCGCTGCTTGGGTTCGCTTTACGTTTTTTTCCCAGGAAGCTCAGTTTTGCCGGGTTCAGACGCCAAACGCGCACAGATGGGCGTGGGGCATTCCCGCTTGTTTTTGAGACACACCCAGGGCAATGGTCCCCTGGTTTTGGGGGCCAGCACCCCAACAGCGATTTTAACGCTCTGGCACGAGACGGATGCTGTTCGAGTCAAAAGCTGTGAAGCACGCGTGCTGCAAGATCCTTGAACATGTCCTTCCAGCACATGTCCTTGCACATGGACAATGGGCTCAGTGCTGCAGGAGCGAAACGGATATTCTTAGGTTGGCTGCGCACTGTCCAATGAACAATGAGGTCAATTGGCAGTTTCCGCATGTGCACGCGCTAGAAGTTGTTGCACTCTTCAGATTACGCAGATCATCGCCCTTGAACCGACTGGGGTTCGGCGTCCTCCCAGCACACCTGTCTGAACGCTGAGCACGTTTTGCTCCTTGGTTGTGTCCTAATGCACTAACGTCTCCTTACGCCACTTTTCTTGTACGAATTGGGGCCATCAAAGAAGGTCACGATTGTTGGCGACGGAAAAGGACCCTGGAAAGCGCCACCGACCCACCAGGCGCACGTGGTTTGGGGCGTGACAGTAGAGAGCTCCGCTGTCAGGTCCATCAAGATACGGCGAAATTCTGAACTCACATCCGGCAGGCGATGCTGAACACCTCACGACTACGAGGCTTCCGTCATTTGCTGACATGAAACAAGCACGCGAGTGCCAGCGGCTGTGAAACGGTGCGCAGCCACCCCGAATCGTGTAACACTGGTGTTACGTGGACACGCAACAAATGCAGCAACGGAATCGGCTTGGAGCATGCAGTCGCCATAGCGGTGAAACGTGGCTCAGGAATGCGCGCCGTGTGCGGCTCGACGCCTGCAGCTGGGCAAGATCGCTTGCGCCGGCTCCAGTTGTCCCGCTTGTCACAGTTTTGGAGGCCGACAGCTCTTGCCTACGCAGTGCCTTTTCGCTGTTTTTGACACATTTTCGCCACCCCCTGGGGTAAATTTGCAACATTTGTTCCTATGTTTCCTGGATCAAACGTCCAGAACACGTGAGCATCCATGACGCGGTGCTGGCGTCCATCGCTTCGTTCGGGGATCTTGCAAAAGACACACATGGCTAATCGCGTTACGCGCAACTGCTCCTTTGGGCAGTGTCGGGTGACATCTCTGGACTGCCGCGCCGGGCGCACGGCGCCACATGCCATCACTCAATTCAGCGCGACGACTCCGACGTTTTCGAGCGTCCGTTCTCCCCCACCGGCGGCACCCACCCGCGTCGCTCCGCCTCCCGCGCCGGGTCCCCGCAATTCCCAGACGACCCTTCGACATCCGGTTGGTCGTCAGCCCGCGGCCCGTCGACGTCCTGCTCCGCTCCACGCCCACGGGACGTCGAATCCGCACAGCGCGTCCGCCGATTGTCGCCATCTCCCGCCTCCCGCGACGACGCCCCCGGCGACCTCGGATGCGCTGCTCCCGGTTCCATTGGCGATCCGCAGCGCTTGCCAACACGCGCCCGCCCCCCTCCAGCCCCCTCGCCGCCCCATCCGCGCCTCCGGTACACTCGCACGCCGGGCTCCTCGTCACCCGGCCGTTCGTTAGGCGTCGCAGAGCGGACTAAACAACCATCCTCCTTAAAAACGAGCGACGGGCTCCGTCGCGGGGAGGAGCCCCCTTCGCCCCGCCCGTGTCCCGCCTCGGCGGCCGGTCCCCCGCGCAAAAGCGCCGCCCCAGCGTCGCGCCAGAAGCTCCGCCGGGCCGCCCCGCCGCCCTTCCCGCTCTTTTTGAACGACGCGGCCTCCACCGCCAGCCACTCGTATTCCTCCGTCACGGGCGGCCGGCCGCCGCCCGCGCCCGCGGCCCTTCGCGGGGGCTCGGGGGCGGTCCCCGGGGACCGGGGCGCGCGTGCGTTCCGGCGCCTCCAGGCCTCCAGCTTGCGACGCTTGCCGCCCATCCACGCCATCATGGCGGCGGGAGCGGCGGGAGCGCCGACGGCCCGAGAATTCGCAGAGCGCGGGTGAGGCGGCGATTGCGGCGCGGGGCGAAATTAGCGGCCGGCGGTTCGCGTTTGCGGGCGGGTGGGTTGGCGATCGGTGACAGTGCCCGGTGAGGGGAATGTCAATGGTGTGTTCGCTCGAACGTACTACAATAGTTCGTCAGTGGTGTGCGTTCGAACATGTAGTACGTGTTTCGAACATCATCGTAATCAAAATCCATCGATCACATATGCCAGAAAACCACAACACACAGCCAGTGCACCTGCTAGGCGATGATGGGCGTGAAAACCAAGCAGATTGTTTGTTTCATCATCATCATCATCATCACCATCATTATTATTTACAGAACAAGGCAATGAGGTAGCCGTCAGCTTCCTTTTCAAACAAGGTGTGCGCCATGTGCATAAAAAGCGGAAATTCCCGGGTTTTCTGCTCCCAAAGCTTGGCAGGCGGAGTGGAGTGGACGCTGCGTGGATGAAAGAATGATGCAGGTCAATGGACCAAACGCAACCTATCGTCAACGGTCAGGTTATTTGTTCTGGCCATTGTCTGCTGCGTGGATGACCGAAGTTTCCCTGGAGGAAACGTGTGCCACGGGCGCATGCGTGCACATTTGGAGGAATGACACGCGATGCGGAAATCAGCAATGGGCGATCGCGAGATGGTTCCGTAGTTCGGACATGAACGTGGCTGTCGACAACTAGCAATTGATCGCCCTCGGATGAGTTAACATCTGTTTGTTCGTTGTGGGGGCAAATGCAATTGCAGAAGGGATGTGCGTCGTTTGCTTAGGGAACTTCCATGGTGGCCTTTATGATGATGTGAATTTTGAAGACAGAGCTTCAACAAATTACGGGATTGCATAGACAGTAAAGAATGAGTTCAAACCCCTATTGCTGAATCCTTCCTCGTTTGTAGATGAACTGGCGTAATGACGAGATTTGTTGATGAACTGGTACAATGGAGTGTGGAGCAAAATTATCGTGTGGGATACGCCTCCGTAGAAGTACGAGAACTTTCTCAGTTGTCGCGGATTACAAAGTTTTGTAGGTTTCACAACGTGCTCAAAGCAGCCGGGCACATTGTGGAATATGCAACTCCCTTATTCTTCTGCTCACGTCAATCAGGCGCACCTTCTGGAAGATCTAGTTCCATGCTTTTCTTGATGACTGCATCAGTTTCGTTTGACAGCCACCGCACTGGCAGTAAGATCTTTCAAGGTTGAAGGATGTTCATATGCTCATGTGCATGTTTGCGGCCGTAGTGGATATTGTGCAAAGCGAATTCTCAGAGCGATCCCCACGCCCAGGAGTATGCCTTTCTGCCGCGCGCACCGCAATGGGAAAGCAATCTCAACCACTAACCGAACAGATCCAACTCATTCTGCTGCAATTCCACAACAAGTGTTCGCCGCTTCTGGATTCCGTGGTCGATGAAATTATGA